AAATGTTGGTAGAAAATGTTGGTAGAAAATGTTGGTGGAAAATGTTGGGATTACATGTTGGGAGGGAAATGTTGGGAGAACATGTTGGGATTACATGTTGGGAGGGAAGTGTTGGAAGGAAATGTTGGGAGGGAAAGGTTGGGAGGGATGTTGGGAGGGAAAGGTTAGTAGGATAAAGTAAGGATGAGAAGGTAGAAATAGAAAGATATTAAAGGGAAGGGAAGGTAGGAAGAGGAAATATATTGAAGGGAAGAGAAGATAGGAAAAGGAAAGATATTAAAGAGAAGGTAGGTAGAAAGAGAAAAGATATTGAAGGGAAGATAGGAAGAGGAAAGATATTGAAGGGAAGATAGGAAGAGGAAAGATATTGAAGGGAAGGGAATATAGGAAGAGGAAAGATATTGAAGTGAAGATAGGAAAAGGAAAGATATTAAAGGGAAGGTAGGTAGAAAGAGGAAAGATGTTCAATTGGGAAGATAGAAAGAGGAAAGATATTGAAGGGAAGGGAATATATGAAGAGGAAAGATATTGAAGGGAATGAAAGATAGGAAGAGGAAAGATATTGAAGGGAAGATAGGAAGAGGAAAGATATTGAAGGGAAGGGAAGGTAAAAAGAGGAAAGATATTGAAAGGATGGGAAGGTAGGAAGAGGAAAAATATTGATGGGAAAAAGGTAGGAGGATAAAAGGGCCGGAAGGTAGGGAAAGGAAAGATATTGAAGGGAAGGTAGAAAGAACAAAGATATTGCAAAGGGAGGGGAAGATAGAAAGAGGAAAATATTGAAGGGAAGGGAAGGTAGAAAGAGGAAAGGTATTGAAGGGAAGGGAAGGTAGAAAGAGGAACGATATTAAAGGGAAGGGAAAATAGGAAGAGAAAAATATTAAAGGGAAGGTAGTTAGAGGAAAAACATTGAAGGGAAGATAGGAAGAGAAAGATATTGAAGAGAAGGTAGGAAGAGGAAAGACATTGAAGGGAAAGATATTAGGGGAAGGGATATAATGATGTTGCTAATGAAGGGAGGCATTTTAGCTTTAACTAACAAGTTTCCCTTAAAAATTTTCCCATGTGCCGAAAAAAATCAATCATTTTTGTCAGAATTCAAGTAGAAATATATTTGGGAAATTGTTTTCCAAGAAAATATACAGCCCTAATCTAAAACATGAAACTCAAAATTGCAATAAGCAAAAAATTTAATAAGCAAAAAATATGGGAAATCTTTAAAAATAATGTTTTTCGATTTGTCGAGTTTGAGGGGTTTGGGGAACTTGAAAAAAGAAATCATCTAAAAAAGTTTGTAAGGAGATTTAGAAAAAAAGAGATGAAATCTGCAATCAGGCATAAAAATATATCTGTTGAAGTTTCGCAATAATTTTGAATTTGGAAAAATACAAAAACTATAAAAAAAAACTATATAATGATTATGGAAAGAGACCTAACAAGAGAAACCCGAGGGACGGACAGTTATTAAGAAAATATCAAGCATTTTTTACTTCCCACGCGTTTTTATGGATCAAAGTCGATTCATTCTCATTATAACTAGTTCTAATTTTACTATTATTCTTTTAAATGCAGAGAAAATTAAATGCCCTGTGATAAAAAGCTTTCATCAGTACAGCTACTGCCTTCAGTGTAAATATATCTTTGATATCAGTATTTATAATTATACAATATACAATATGTATCATTTCTATGAAAATATAGATATTTTTAAGAAAGGTTTTAATCTATATTTTTCACCCATTGAAGCTTACACCACAATATTAAGAGGAAGTGTCTGATGACGAGTCCAATTAAAAAATTACATAAATAATTTAATAACACTTGTTATGTGAAAGTGTCTCTATGAGCGAATAGTTTACGTAGTCAAAAAAGGATTCAATATTTTTTCAAAAAAAAGAGGCNTAATCTCTCATTAGTTAACGTCGAGATTGATTTGTATGCGTGTTTCTAGTGGTATTAGAGCGGTATTAGCTAATACCGCTCTTAAGATACCGGACTCTTGACCCGGCCACAAGTCGACAATGAAATGTTTAAACGAACCTTTTCAAAATCAATCAACATAGAAGGAAATTGAAGACGATCTAACAAAACATATTTGGCAAAATTACGCATTCACCGGTGCGCATCAAGTGAGTTGCAACTTTTACAACACAAAATTGTTCTCGTCATTTAATACTATATAGAGGTACCATCAAACTAAAACTAAATATTAGTGATTTTATAAACTGAAGTGATATCTACATTCAATTTAATTTTTATAATTTGTAGATTACAATGGGATGAAGGATGAATAGACGGATTAGATACATTCTCATATTACTAACATTGTGTAAGTAATAATACTTCCTTCAATGAATTAAGGATTTAAGATAAAATTGTTGAATTGTTTCGCTTATAAATATATTCGTGTTCCTAACATATCAAATTCGTATCACACAATGCTTCTTTTGTGATTTGCTCATATTTGTGATATCCTCAGTCCTGGATGTGTGTCCTGTTAAATATAGTAAAAACTGTCGAAATCAATCAGCCTTTTTTTTAGAAATTTCTAAAAGTCAAATTATAATAACGGCATAGCAATCTTTGAATTAAGTATAAAGGGTCCGTCTTTATAAACAACAGTGGAGCCAGTATGCGGGATTCGAAACTTATTTATTATAGGTCGGGATGTCATTCTGCAAATTTTACGACTTGGCTTATTATGGTGTAGCAACCCCTCTCTTTGTTATTGCATCAAAACTAATTGATGTTATGATTATTAGGATGTTATTGTTCAGGATGTTAACCCTGCAATATCTGATCTACCCTGTTACTGGAATAGAGAGACCTCTAAGAGTGTTGGTCTCCAGTCTACCAGGAAACTATCTTGTCTCTGGAACGGAGTAGATGTTTATCTTCCGTTCAACTTCATCAAGAACTATTTTGAAATATTTGGCGCTTTCTCTTTAAACCATGGAGTTAAGGTTAGGTTTTAAAATATTTAATAAGTTTTAAAAGACTATTTCTGTAAAGTCTAAATATTAAGAGACTTCCTCCCGTCTTTTTTAGACGCAACATTAAGTTCAATCGGAAGTGAACGTATTTTTCTTTCGTCACTGCTACTTGTACAATGCGCATTACAAATAGACAAGAGACTCAGGGGTGTATGTTTTCTTGAAAATAATTTCCCACCCCCCATTGAAAATTGAAGGGAAAATTTGAAAATATACACCCCTACAGAGACATCAATGATAATAGATTATCATATTATATCGGTACTATCTCTCATTATAGTGTGCAGCTAATATTTTACGACAACTAAAACTAATTTCTAAATACTTTTTTCATATGCAACTTATAGTTCTTTTCGGTTTCTAATTTTACTATTATTATTGTTATAATTTTGTTTAAAAGAATTTTTTGAAATTAAATTTAAAATACTTAAATTTTAGGAGTTCGATGTTTCACATTCGAACTCTCGAGTTCTTACTCCCAGCTCCCGATACAACCCCAGGGAGGAGTTTATGCACTTTGCCTCCTTCGATGTCGAAGGACGGTCCCGTGTTCTCTGTGTATCTGCTGGTGAGGGGGTTCCTCTCTCCACCCAGTGGAATCCCCAGGGATATTTTTATCCTACTCAGATAGCACAGTTTGCTCTAGCTCACTACTCCGTTCATTCTCAAGCTCAGCACAGAGAAAATATTAAAAGGTAGAGAATAAAACAATGGTTAGGATCCATATCATGAAAGTTCGGCTCTTCATCCAGGCTTGGAACATTTCTTCAAGATTTACACATGTTTTCTTCTTTTTCATGCGTATTTTCAGAGATTTGCAAATTTTTGATAATCTCTCATTAGTTAACGTCGAGATTGATTTGTATGCGTGTTTCTAGCAGGTTTTAAATGACATTATATCCCTTGAATCCGGGTCCGTGGATCCGCAGTTGTTTGCGGATCCGGATCAAGGAAGCCAATATGATGTGGTGTTTATTTTCCTGAAAAAATTTTCCCCCAAAGAAGTAAGGTATGTTTTCACGAAGCGCCAAATTTTTTTTTACGCTTTTATTCGCAGAATAGGGAAAATAGATTATTTTTAGAAAGAACAATCGCAACTCTTAAGTCAACAAAATCATCCTCTATATGAGTTCCTGAGGATTAATCAACAATAAACAATAATAAATAACTTTTAGTGTAAAGCGTATGAATAAGGCTGAAAAAATCCAACTTGTCATTTTTCCCCCCGATCTTTAGAAATATACATCTCTGGTTCTATATCTACTTGGTATTTTCTTTGTAGAGGAAATCATATTCTTGAATAACTAAAGATAATATGTTTAGGTACACTATACAGCTGGAGCAAGAAGACACTGCGGCTAGAGTTAGAGACGAGGATACTAACTCCCTTGTTATACAGTTTAAGAATACTTTAGGTAATTTTACTCCTCTCTGATTCAGCGCCTAGGATACATCCATCAAGATATGGATTCGAGTCGTTTTGGTTGGTTTTGGTCTTACAAGTTTTACCAATTTAATGTTCAAGAAAAATGAGTTTAATGCGTATCTGATTCATTGAAAGAATGGGATTCGACCCAGCTCGTACACAATTTTGGAGGGTTGTTTTTTCCAGTGCTTAGGATCCATTTAATTTTGATCCGGATCCTGGATCCGCACTGGAAAAAAATGGATCCGGATCCAGGTCATTTCCTAAAGATTTACTGAATTTTTTCAACAAAAAATTATTTCCAAATTTTTTGTTTTATTTTTTTTCTCGCTTATTTTAATCCTAAAACCATTCAGAAATGAGGATATTTAGGAGTAAACATTTGTTTTTTGCAGTTTTTGGTGAATATTTTACCTCTTGGATCCGGATCTGTGGATCCGCATATTTTTGCGGATCCGGATCCAGGAAGCCAAAATCTTGCGGATCCAACGGATCCGGATCCTAAGCACTGGTTTTTTTCTTATAAGAAAACGAAAATTTCTAAATTTCTTCTTTTTGCTAATTTTTTGTTAGGAGAGTCTTGCATATTTCGCATTAGTTCACCTTTTTATTGCATATTTTGGTTCTTTTCCGAAATTTGTTTCTGGAACTGGATTTGGTAAGTTGGTAGCCCAATTATTGCAAATCTTAATCCCTAAGCACTGAATTGTTCATCTCTTATGATCAACTAGCTTGGGAACTCAGCTTTGCCTGGAAACTGAAGTATCTAGGAAAGTCAACCCACTCGAACTAAGAACCGTGGTACTACCAAGCTGCTCTCTAGCATGAATTTGAGGCAAATAGGTCAAGGGATTTATGAGTTATGATTGGACACACAGACTTAGAAACTACTTCAGATATGATAGAATAGCAATATAATGAAAACGATTGACGAATTCTCAAAATTATGATAATGTTTCTATTGTAGAGTTTGCGCTGAGTTCCCCCCACCTGGTGTTGAGTTTAGATCTGAAGATAAACTCTGATATTAAAACTTGGTTCAAGGTTCAACTACTAGCTGAGGAGGAGGGGGAGTTGTTTACACTTTTATACACACAATCAGGCATCTATATACAGGTAATGCACCCTTAGGGTCTTCTTCATTAATCATATATATGTTGAAGATATGAAACAAATAGTCAATATTCCACTTGGGAGTGTCGGGCAGTTTTGTGAAGCTGGACATCTTTTATATAGATTTTATGTTAATGATTTTCTTAAGAAAAATTAACGTTTTTCTGTGTTTCAGTTTAGTGGTTCTTTTTTAATTTTCAAATCGTTTAGTCTAAGCCTTCAAACTGAATATTAGGCTTCCTGGTTTTATTAATTGATTGACGCCCTAATTTGATTAGAGTGATGGTTCAGAGTTCCAGTTTGGGTTCGGGAACAAGGCCTCTGGTCGTTGGTTGAGATTGACCAGGGACCTGTTTACCGACCTCAAGAAGGGGCTCACACACTCCAACGACAAGAAGAAGGCTAAGAAGCTGAAGAGAACCAAGTTGAAGGTGATCTCCCTCAAGTTCTACGGATCTGGGAATGTTGCAAATATATCTCTAAGTGATGGAGAGGATTTAAGGTAAAATTAAAGTAAGAAAATAAGGTTTGTGCGTAGCAAAGATCTCGCTGAATTGTGGGGTAAAAAATAATGATCTATATATTATATAGGATAGTAAGTAAGTTTGGAAAAAATTTTCAGTTGATGTCCACCTTTTTCAGATTTTCCCATCGATCATCGAAAATAATCCCCCCCCCCTGTGGTGTGTACTATTAAGAATTGAGAAAAGCAAAGAGAGAAAAAACTATAAAATTTTAATTCGTGTTGAAATAATGAGAGGGTATTGTGTTTGTTTACAAATTTTATTTGACGTATTAGGACTAGGAACTATTTTTTCTTAGCAACAACAAAGATTGTAAGCAAAAGTCGATTTTTTTCAGGAAGTGAAATTACTAAGTTTCAATAAATCAGTTTTTGAACCCATAGTTTTGGGAAATTTTAGGGCAAGTAATAATGGTTCACTGATAAAGAAAACAGAAAGCAGTGTTGAGGGTCCATTTCATTTTGATGCGGATCCGGATCCTAAATCCGTCCTTTAAAATGATCCAGTAACCTTTTCTTTAAGATTTACTGACCTCTTCTGTGATCAGGATGTTCCTGGACGGAGCGAACTGGTTCCTGGAGAACCAGGATGAGAACGGAGGTTGGCCGAGTAATGTTATTTTTAACCAAGGACAGAAGAAGTATCCTAAAGCAGCAGAAATTCAACCAGGTAAAAAATGGCGCAATTTTTAGTAAAATGGTTGAAATTGCAAACAGGGGCGGATTTAGAAATTTTCTTCTTCCTAGGGGGTGCTCAGCACCCATATTGGGACTTCAAAACACCCTGAAACAATAGATAATGGGGTGGTTGAGCCTCCCCCCCCCCCTCAAATACGCCTCGGATTGAAAACCTCGTCCTAAAATCACGTTTTCAATAATATTGTTACATAAAGAGGGAGTAAAATGACTGCTGTAGGCAACAAGATAGGACAAATACGATATCTTTCTCATTGTTTCTCAGATATAAGTTTAATGAGTATCGTTGGATATCGGACATAGCACTCTTCCACTGTAAGGAAACTTAAAAATTAAGTCACAAGTCCCTTTAAACTGTCTCATGCGAAATTTTAACCCTCTCAAAGTCACTGTAAACTTAATCTCAATGGACCCTCCTCCGTTAAAGAGTGGCAATTCCGATTCACGAAAGTACCCTGGAAAGCTGAGTCCAATAGAGTATTAATTAGATATTCATGTATTTGTTCATTTAAAACTGATGCGTTTCAAAACAGAAACAAAAGAGAAATTGTCGGAATAAAACACGATTTAGGTTAGAAAACTACGTTATTATTCAGATTATTGTAAATCGGGTATGCTTCTCTTTTAAATGAAGGTTAGCTTGAAATTAAATCGTCAGTCCAATTAAGACAGAAAGTTTTAAAATGTAACGTTTGAATTATATTTTTGTTTAAGGTTGGTACGGAGCAATGTGTCAGGGTCAAGCTATTTCTGTTCTCAGTCGGGCATATCATGTGACCAGAGACCAGAAATACCTGACTGCAGCGGAGGCTGCCCTGGGGCCCTTCCAGAAACCCGTGGCGGAGGGCGGAGTAAAGACAGTGTTCCTTGACAGATATGACTGGTATGAGGAGTATCCGACCAATCCTTCCACCTTTATCCTGAACGGGTTCATGTACTCCCTCATTGGTCTCTACGATCTCCAGAATATCAGTCCTGATAATGTTATTGTTCAACTACTTTTTAAAAGGTTCATTTTTTAATTACAACCCTATCACCCCCCCCCCCCNATTTATTTTGTCCCAAGACGAAAATCCTGTGATATAAAATCGAGGGAGAACAAGAGTTTGAGTCGGAAAGGGAAATGATTTCACAAGAAAATGTATATCCCTGAAATCATTAAGTAACTTGGCTGTCTGAACTTCCAATGTGTTACATTTAGTTGAGTGGGATTTTACTGAAAACTAACGAAATGTTACTCTTTGATTCAGGGGTATATACTGTAATTTTTCATCCCTCTCCCCGGTTGGGGAGAGGGATGAGGGGAGAGGGACCTTTGGGGTGGGGGGATATGATATTTTTACTCCCCATGGGAAAGGGGAAAGGACATGAAATAAAAGAGGGAAATTTTTTTTGATATCCTAGTTTTCGTTCACTCTGGAAACTAAGCAAAACCTTTCCATCAAAGGTAATGTCATGTTGTCATGTTTTCCTCCTTTAAAAAGCTAGTTAGTTACTGTTTCATGACTGAAGTTTACGATCTATCTTTAAGCTCCTAATCTGTTTGTATTGTAGAGGAATGAGATCTTTGTTGGCCCTGTTACCATTTTATGATGCTGGTTCTGCAACATTCTACGATCTCAGACATTTCACCATGCAAACTGCACCCAAGGTTAGAAAAACTTAAGAATATATTAAAAGAAAACAGTCGTAATCTATATATTAATTTGGCCTGTTTGTTTGTTTGTTTGTTTGTCTGTCTGTTTGTATCCAATAAACGTCAAAACGGCTGAACCGATCGGGCCCGAATTTTTGTGGGACATCACGTGACCACAGGGAAGGTTTATGAATGATAAAAATTTAAAAAAATGTGTTTTAAAGGTTTATAATTTTGTAAAAAAATTTTCTTTGTTTTTAAATGTAAACAAAAAGAACATGTTCACAATTTAAATAGAAGATGGGCGCGAAGCGCCTTAAAAGCCTAGAAAGAAGGGCGCGAAGCGTCTTGAATTCCTAGTATGTATTATAAACCATAAATAAGATGTAACCATTAATAAGAATTCGTTTAATTTTTGAAGGTATCATCAACCTCCACCTCTCCCCCTCATAATCTGTTTTGACTTTAAGTACTTAAAGTAATTATTCTACTACTCATGAAATTAAACCGACCATTCACAGAATACTGCTATATATATAAAATTGTAATCTCTGTTTGTCTTGTTTTCTGTTTGTCCGATCATAACTCAGGAACCCCTGGACCGATTTTCCTAAAATTTTGATTGGGGAACTCGGGAGACCCACGGAAATGTGCTAAGCTTAGTTTTGATATTCTAAGTTGAGTAATGGCGAAAATTTAGTTTTTCAGTGAAATCGTTGAAGTGTGGGTAAACGTCGGGAGTAATTTTAAGTTACCTGGGCAGAGCTGGGTGCCCAAGATAATAAATATATATGTATATATTTAGATTGCTAGATGGGATTATCATACTACTCATATAAACCAACTACTACTACTGGCAACTATACAAAATAGTACGGTCCTTTCAGAAACTGCGGAAAGGTGAAATTTAAATTTTTATGTTTTTGGTTTTCTATGGACTTTGACGAGTGTCGACATATTCCAAGTGATCTTTTATTTAAAGAGTTCCATGCGTCATTTCTATCTAAAAATATTATTCTTTGTCCGTTGTGTTAATTCGCAAGTCGGTGTAGAGAAACTAATTTGAAAATAATCAAATTTTCAGAGAGATTAACACTGATATTTTATTGATGATTTGTGAATTGGAGAGGGTCACTAGAAATGTCGTCGAGAGTCCCTTTAAAACTCATTTTAGTTTTTGCATTTTGCTTTGCACCTTTGTCAACAGAGATCGGAACTTTTACCTTTGTCAACAGAGATCGGAACTTTTACCTTTGTCAACAGAGATCGGAACTTTTACCTTTGTCAGCACAGATCGGAACTTTTACCTTTGTCAGCACAGATCGGAATTTTTACCTTTGTCAGCACAGATCGGAACTTTTACCTTTGTAAGCACAGATCGGAACTTTTACCGTTGTCAGCACAGATCGGAACTTTTACCTTTGTCAGCACAGATCGGAAATTGTGTGTTAAGTATCATTTACCTTGAACGCTTGATCTCGATACCCAGTGATGGGCATTTTAAAATTTTATATTTTTCAAGAATCAAAGTTATTTCTGGAGAGCAGATGTCGAAAAATTATCCGCCGCTCTGCAAAAGATAGAGAATTGAGATGAATACTTGATTCCGGGATTTACAACAAAATAGTTCTGACTTCGTCTTCTTCTATAGTTTGTTTTATTATGTTTCTTTAAATCATTTGTTGACACATTTTTGTTCAATACAGGTTTATTAAGATAAAAAACTGGAAAAAAATAAATAAGATTGTGTTGTTTAGATGGCGAGGATATATGGTTGGAAAACGAGCTCCACACAACTAGCCAACTATCAACATTCCTAAGATGCATTGTCTGTTAGTATTTTTATCTTGAAGAAGACTCCTAATGTTTGGTATTTACTGTCACCCAAAAACAACTCCCAATGTTCCTCGCTGTCTGTGTAAGAACTCCTCTAATACTCCGCCTCCTTTAGGCTGACTCCCCGATGTCTTAGTAAACGCCTGAAAGACTGCTTCTTATGTTGATTATTATTAGTTTTCTACTGAATATGTATGAAAGACAATTCCAATTTTGTAAATGTTAATCAGAGTATAATCTAGTTCCTTCTTTAATCCTAAGGATTAAACCGCATTTAAGTATTTTTCTTCGTTCCTCTTTGTCTTCCACTGTATTCATTCTTCTAAGGTGAATAATACTTAATTTTTTATAATCCTGGCTCAACCTGCAGTATTTGATGCAGGGGTGTATATCTTTTTGAAAAAATAATCCCCCTCCACACCCTTTTAAAAGTCATTTTGGTTCCCTGGAAGTTATTTTGTTGGCGGGGAGAGCAAAAATAAGGGGGAAAAGATTTGGGTTAAACGTATCATTAAGGGTAATAAAACTTTCTTGTTAAATTTTTCATTTTCCCCCAGACCTACAAAAATATACACCCCTGATATGATGTTTTGTGAATAAGTTTTATTATTCACTTTCTTGTAAACAAATCCTAGACTCTTAGAGAGGATATAATTTTAGTCCAATAAACAATGGGTCATTGACGGTTGTCAGCTGAATAAAATCTTTAAAAGAGATTGTTACCCTATTTGAAATTCCACCAAAATACTTAATTTTGATGATCAAATTTTTTGTCAAAATAATCAGTCATGAGATTGTTTTCTCTATGAATTTCTAAAAAGATGTAGTTTTAGATAGGTGAACAATTCCTTTAAGAGTTTGAGATCTGACAACCTACTCACAGGATTAATAAACCTGTCGCCCCTTGTCTAATGGATGTTAAACTTGCAAAATCTAGAATATATCCTGCATTTTTATATAACTTTATAAAACTAGAAACTAATATGGTCTTCCTGTTAAATCTTTTAAAATACTTCCAATTGTTACTTAATTTAACATGTTAATATATTGACAAGTAGATAGTTAAGTTTTGTAATAGTGCTTTTAATTGCAAAACTGGTTTAAATAGTTGAGCTTCGGTTTATAGTCATCACTGTTTTATGCAATCTGACCGCACATTGTAGCCAAGCCATTAGAGCCATGTTATTATTAGTCATTTTTCAACTAAGGAAGATGAAAAGGAAATTCCATACCTTTGTTTACATATAAGTGTACTGCAGTTACTTGGAGTAATAAAAACAAACTAATTGCTGCTAGTAAGGTTGAGGTTTGTTTTAATTCCTCCCAGAAAATGTAATACAATTTTTAAGTATTTTATTTGGTGTATTCTCCTAGCCTAGCTTGAACGGTTCTTTATATTATTGTTGTGCTGTTTCTAGACCCATTCTCTATTACTACTGGTTATTATATGTACAGCAAAGCTGTGCATAGGTACAGCACTTCTGTTCAGATACAACTTAACAATTTTAAAGTCTTGTCCCTAGCTAAAGAAATATATATAAACTGTTATCTGTTTCAGAATAAAGAATAAAGATGACTGCTAGCCAGGAGAAAACCAGCTCTAGCCCGAAGAAGAAGCAGGATGATAAAACCAGGGTATGTTTTTCTACTCTAATCCTATTCACTTTTTTACCCTTCTTTCTCTCATCTTTAATTTGGCCTTTTTCTGGGGGTTCCATGTCGGGTTCCTTTTTCAGATCTATTATTATTATTATCTACCATTTGTTTTACTCATTTTCTATTTACTCTGTCTTAATTTTTCACTTGTTTACTCTTACTTGTTTTATTTACCGTATTTTTAGTCATAATCTTTTTTAAACTCGTTTTTTACTCACATCTTCTATTCTATTAGAGTGNCAAAAATTATTTTGTTTCAGGAGGAGAAGATCAATGAGATTATTGCGGATGGAGGAACCATCGTTAAGATGGAGGTAAAACGAACTTTTAAAAGTTATTCGCCATTTTGAAAATGTTGCTGGATTGAGTTTTTGGAAAGCATTTTCTTTCTGAAAAAATCAGTGTGTATCTGAACCTCCCAGGGGAAGGGTGTCAGCAGAGCTTTCTTAGCCTTTTGAGAGAAAGGGCGCTATGTACGTTGTACTTGTATAGTAAGCTAGTTATCAAGGACACTTCTCTCCACAACTGAGTTGAAAGCTTGACTAATCCCAGACAAGATATAGGATTTAACATTGAAAGCAGGAATACAGAAACTTAAATAAGGGATGTAGTACACGCTGATGTCGGTTTAAGGGGGACATGACTGTTTGACAACAGTAACATTCATAGCTCTCTGTGACCCACGTACTCCTAAGGGAGGCTGAGGGTTACCGGGAGGGGTGGTTTCCTGGTAACATTCGTGTTATTGGGATGTCATAATAGATAGATAGATAGCTTTGTCTAAGTATTAGTAAAATATTCTTGTTTGATTTTAGCTAAAAATTGATTTTTGTAAATGTTCACACTTTATGATAGAAAACCGAGAATATTTTCCTTATTGGTCTGAGAAAAATGTTGTTTTAAAGGTTATCTTACTTACTTGTTTACTTGTGTGGTGGTTTGCAGGAGACCTCTAGGTCCATGGTGCAAACGTCTTTGGTGTCCTCTGGAAACTGCGTGACTTTTCGATAAGTTATTCATCTAGATGCTTCGTAACACAGTTCCTAATAGCATAGAAAGACAGTTTAAATGACTAATTCCTCCAATTTAGTCTTAAAAATGAAGACATTCCTGGACTCCTTGACTTCAATTGGTAAGCTATTCCAAAGGGAAACCACTCTGATAGAAAAGAAATTCCGTCTAATATCTGTCTTAAATCTTGTTGCGATCAGGTTCTTATTGTAGGAAGTATTTCTGGTCAGTCTAGTGTGCTGGTTATCAACAGTACGAAACCAAATTGACGGGTTGACTTTATCAAAGCCGTTAAGAATCTTGAAGGTTTGCACTAAATCATAGCGTTTCCTACGGATCTCAAGGGTTGTAAGACCAAGTAGTCCCTTTAACTACAAGAACATGTTTTGACGATGTGTTTGTTCAGGTTGATTACTCCGCTACTTGTGATGAGAAGCTTCCTATTGCTGAGTCTCTAGCTGACTCAGGAAAGCTTAATGAAGCTCTTGATATGCTTCTTGCTCTAGAGAAACAAACCAGGTAGTTTTTGTAAGGTTAGCGCCTGGGATTACCTACTCTGGCCTAATCCGAAATTAACTATGAATTCCAGAGTCTCAGATTGAACAGGGTTTAGGAACACTGGCCTATTACCAGGATGATGGACTTGGGATTCCACATTGGGGATCTTTAACGATTATTATACAATAATAAGAATTGACACCTTGTGGTTCATTTTTTTATACGTTTGTTTGTTTTACAAGTGTCTTGATGTATTTGCTGATAAAATTGCCACTTATTCATTGGTTTTCATTAATAAATTGCCTCTTTACTTGCCTGTTACCTTGTTGCCTTCGTTGCCGTAGATTTTATCTTATTTAATGTAAAGCATAAACAAAAACAAAACTGCTATATTAATTGATCTTAGTTGTTGATTGCCTGATCTTTTAGTAGCTTTGTGATGGATTGATATAATATAATGGATTGTCGATTTATTGATAGAACTTGTTGATTTTAATTATATTTTTGAAATCTTATAATGCTTCTTTGTTAAAACATATCGCACTGAAATAAACATTTAAATCATAATAAAGATTTTGTTGTGGCTTACTGATTGATTGGTTTATCTTGTGGTGGCTGATTGATGGATTGATCTTGCTGTGACTTGTTGATAGATTGATTGATTGTGTTTATAGAACTGGTTCTGATACTCACAGCTCAGGACGAATTCTGGTTCTTATCGTTAAGCTCTGTGCTAAGGTATTTTATTTAGAAAATGAAAACATTAGAACAAATATGACCAACATTTATTCATTGACTCATTAATTCATTCATCCTTTCACTCATTCATCCTTTCACTCATCCTTCCTTTCTGTCATAGGTTCACTCATTCATTGATTGATTGTTAGGCTGGAGAATGGAATATGCTGAATGAGAAGATCCTGGAGCTGACTAAGAAAAGGTCCCAGCTCAAGATGGCTGTGGCTAAGATGGTTGGAGAGTGCTGCACTTTCCTTGACTCTACTCCTGATAAACCTACTCTACTTAAACTCATTGATACTCTCAGAACCGTTACAACAGGTCAGTTACAACAACAGGAGCACGTAAAGTGAGTGTTTGCAAATAAACGGAAGGGGGTACAAAATGAACCCGAATTAAATTTCATAATAATAGCCGCCTCCAAAAATTTCAGTTTTTTAGCCGATGTTACGTCCTGGGTACCCATGGGCTCCCTCAAAAAATGTCAGCCAATTTTGTCCAGCCTTTTTTAGCCAGCTTTAACTAACATTTAAAAAAATATATATACATACAAATATTTATGAGCACAGAGCTTTATTATACAGATGATCATTTGTATTTAACAATACACAATCCTAGGTTTCTAAAATCAATAATTATTTATTGCAATTTTTCTTTGAACGTGACTTACGGGATTTATGTAACCGAGCTAAGGGAGGGAATTAACACAATTAATATCATCTTAAGATAGAAAAACGACAATATCTCCCTCATTGTTACTTTGACAAAGATTTGAAGAGAGAAACGACGATATTTCTCTCATGTTGTAACTCGGACCAAGATTTATAGGATATCTATAAAATAAAAAGTCGCTTGGAAGTTGTAAGTTGTAATTATCATGTTTATTGTTTAGGTAAGATCTATGTTGAGAATGAGCGTGCTAGGTTGACCCACAGGTTAGCTAAGATCAAGGAGGAGGAAGGGGAGAACCAAGAAGCTACTAAACTGATGCAGGATCTTCAAGTAGAAACATACGGTTCCATGGAGAGGAGGGAGAAGGTAATCATCATTCAGAGTTGATTTTTTTAAAAATCACACACTTTTTATACGGGGAAGGAAGATTGATATTTATTTCTTGTATTAAACTTTCTTGTCATCTTTACTAAAATATTGGTTTTTTTAACGATCAATGTCTTCTATTTTCAGGCTTTAATATTATACGTCTGAATATTATTTGTAGTCATTTTTTCTTAAAAAGCACATTGTTAAAAAGATATATTAGAATGTATAATTTACGAAACTAAGAATTATCTCAGTTTAGACTATGACCAAAGAGAATAGAATATATTATAATTTGGTTTTCTTTTAATATTAATTTTAGATTTTCTATAAAATTATGTTCCAGGGCCCAAAAGGTTATATAGCACAAATATGTGAAGTACAAGTGAAATATACAAAAAAAACAAGTTTTTAAAACTAATTCTTTCATTTTCTTTTACATTCTAATCAAATGTTATGATAAATATTATTTTGAACAAATATTAGTTTAATATATTTATTTTGCTCCAGGTTGAATTGATCCTGGAGCAGATGCGTCTGTGCCTGTTGACCCACGACTACATCAGATGCCAGATCATCTCCAAGAAGATCTCCATCAGGTTCTTCGAGGACGGGAAGCAGGACGAGCTGAAGCTGAAGTTCTACCAGTATATGATAGAACAGAGTTTACATGATCAGGATTATCTTGGAATATGTAAACATTACAGAGCTGTTTACAATACTGGATCCATACAGGCGGATGAGGTAACAGGACACAAATTTAAACTTTTGGAAAAATTCACCCACCCACCCCTCAAAAAAAAAATCAAAACAACGTAAAAAAAAGAATTGTACTGTTTAATTTGTAAGAAACTTATCTTTCAAGTTGATCTCGAGGGTGAAGTTGTTTCTTGTTATTTATTAAATGTAATTATGAAAAGGAATCCGGGAAATGTAATGGGGAAATGTTTAAGAGACTTGAATCAAAGTGGTTAAAGAAAGTAAACAATGAACATGCACATAAAGAACATTATATCATATCTGTTCGGTTCCATAGTAGTAAACCTATCGTGTAAGAATTCCCATTATTACACGGTTCAGGAGGAATGCAGTTCTGATGATAATTGATGATCTTTCATATTCTTCCTAAAGTTTTCTTATTTTCAGGAGAAGAAGCTGACCGCTATGAAGAATGTTGTCCTCTACGTTGTACTTGCCAAGTAGGTTTTATTAATGAGATGATAGATTTCAGATTTTTTTTTTTTGACAAGTTCGTTCATAGTCTTATATTATATGAATTTTCTATTCTGGTAAATTATGAATATTTGAGCATTTATTTTATTATTATTATCAAAATAAGCCATATTAGTTAAAGAAAGAAACATTTCAAGGTTTTTATATCTACAATATAGATAAAGTAGTAATTTTTGTATTTGTGTATTCCGTCGATTTTAACTCCGGAAACCTTGTAGTAATTAGCCACAAATTTTGATTGGGAAACTGGGTAGAACCACGGAAATGTTCTTCGCTTTATTTAAAAGTTCAAAATTGAGTAGGCTGACTTTAGAAAGGAAATCTTTGTTTCCAGGCAAAAAGCTCGGTCCCAAAAAAGTTTTTATAAATTTCTTGTCTTATTCTTATTTTTTTCATATCCTAGGTATGATAATGAGCAGAGTGATCTTATTCACAGGATTGAAAAGGAGAAAATTCTTCAAGATTTGCCCAGGTATGGTCTTAACAACTTCATTAAATATGAAGCCACAGCGAGGCACCCGGAGGTGCAGAGGGACTTGATTCTACAATAACTACATGCCTAAATCACATCGATATGCTTTGATTCTTTTTATCAAAAAATCAAAGCGATTTCCCGTGGCGTGACGTGTGAATTTATTAAACTGAAACGAGGCAGCAAATAGTCAGGATTTATCTTTCCAAGTATTGAAAAAAAATATTTATCCTCATTGTGAATTAGGTCTTACGGTTTAAGAGGTACCTGCTTGAAACTTCTACTGGATAGTGATATAACGTCAACAGTTCCTTTACATAACCTTTTCAAACTTAGGATCCGGCAAAACATCAATCAAAAACTGCGAAAAAAACACTTTTTACTCTTGAAATTCAATTCTAAACTGTTAAATAGAGATTTTCAAAACTTTGCTTATCGCTGAATGTTTCATTAATGCTTAATTAAAATAAGTGAAAAAAAGAAGAAAATTAATTTGAAAATTTGTCTTTTGTTTAAAAAATCAGAAAATCTTATAGAAATTTTGATGACCTGGATCTGAATCTGGATCCATTTTTTCCATTGTGGATCCGGATTAGCATCAAACCTTTTCAAATTTGTAGAACCGGTTTTAATTTTGTTATTGTTCAGGTATAAGCAGGTTGTTGAGAGGTTTACAACCATGGAGCTGATAAACCAGGCGGGGTTCTGCCAGCAGTTTGAGAAGGAGCTCAGGGACGGGGTGGAGGGAAACCAACCTACCGGAGTATTCCCCAGGAATGAGGAGGGAGATGCTAGGTATGAAGGTTTAACACGACAATGTAATCATAGATTATCGATTGATTTTCATAATTACAGTAATGTGTTATTAAACGTATTTAACAAATCAGCCCCCCCCCCCAAAAAAAAAAATCGGAAACTGTTTTGAAAAATACCTTTTCAACGTTCCTGGAAGTTAAAATTAACCACTGAAAATTGCAATAAAAAGTTGATCATCTATATATAAATTTCGCTTGTCTGTTTGTTCGTTTGTAACCAATAACGTCAAAACGGCAGAACCGATCGGGCCCAAATTCTTTGTGGGACATCACGTGACCACAGAAGGTTTATGAATGATAAAAATTTTTAAAAATGTGTTTTAAAGTTTTTTAATTTTGTAAAAACATTTAAATTCTTGAAAATCCGCGATTTTTTTTTTGTTTTAAAATGTAAACAAAAAGAACATGTTTACAATTTAAATAGAAGATGGGCGCGAAGCGCCCTAAAAGCCTAGTAAAGCCTAGCACATGAAGTAACTTGAGTAAAAGATGAGTCGGAAGAAATTTTCCTAGAGAACCGATTTGATAAACTAATAGTTTGACCGAGATTATCTGTATTAAATTGTACTTTACTGCATTACGTTGTACTTGTATGTATTCAATTGTACTGTACTGTATTATATTGTACTAAGATGTATTAAATTGTATTAAAATGTACAAAAGTGTACCGTAATTTTTCAAATTGTGCGGCACTGAATCAGATTGTGCTCAACGTTACACTGATTTAAATTAAAGTGTTCTGAATATTCCAGATGGAAGGATCTGTTCTCTAGAATTGTGGAACATAACATTAGGATCATGGCTAAATATTACACCAGGTATAAAAAGTAAATTATACCCTGAAAAAAAATTAAACTAATTTTGTCTCAAAATAACCGATTTTTGTGAATTGGCCTGTTTTTAAACTACTTTTTTAATTTCAAAATCACCACAGTAACAATGTAAGGAATAATAATTGTCCTAAGTAACATTATTTAAAAAGTGAATATTTATTTCAGCCGACAACCTTATTTTGAAGTATTTTCTTGTTTTCATATTTAGTTTGATGGATCATATCGTTACAACCGAAGAGAGTTCACCCGGGCCGAAATATATTTTCAAAAAATGTGGAACTAACAAATACTTTTTTCCTCAAGTATTAGATTTGAATCATACACAACGTCAAATTTTTATTTTCTAAATTGTTTAGAATAAGTTTAAGCAGGATGGCTGAACTTCTGGCACTGCCTGAAAGCAAGGCCGAGGATTGTTTATCTGACATGGTAAATATTACTTTAAATCAGAATTTTTATCTATGCATAAATTTTATTTTTAAAATTATGTTTAATTGGCTTGTCTGTTTTTTTGGTTTTTTGTTTCCAATAAACGTTAAAAGTGACAAAGCGAGTTAATCGAATCTGTCGAAAATTGAAATATCTTGCCTCAAAAAAATAGATATAATTCTTTTGAAAACCCTTCAATGAAATCAAAAAAAATTCTTTGAATATTTTTTTTTTGTTGAATCAAATCAAATAGATTCTAGTACAATAGATGGCAACGTAGAATTTGTACACTCTCAGTACAGTGGTGCTGTATCTGCTAAGACGGATAGACTGTATTATTGAATAGTTTATAATCTAGGTAGTGTCTGGTGCTGTATCCACTAAGACGGATAGACTTTATTATTGAATAGTTTATTATCTAGGTAGTGTCTGGTGCTGTATCTGTTAAGACGGATAGACTGTATTATTGAATAGTTTATTATCCAGGTAGTGTCTGGTGATGTATCTGCTAGGACGGATAGACTGTATTATTGAATAGTTTATTATCTAGGTAGTGTCTGGTGCTGTATCTGCTAAGACGGATAGACAGTATTGTTGAATAGTTTATTATCTAGGTAGTGTCTGGTGCTGTATCTGCTAGGACGGATAGACTGTATTATTGAATAGTTTATTATCTAGGTAGTGTCTGGTGCTGTATCTGCTAAGACGGATAGACTGTATTATTGAATAGTTTATTATCTAGGTAGTGTCTGGTGCTGTATCTGCTAAGACGGATAGGCTGGAGGGAATTATTGACTTCAGCCAACAAACGGTATTTTCTTGCTTTCTAAATAAAAATCGGTGCTCGTATTTAATGAATCGAAATAAATCGCTGAACTACCAACAGTAACAGTTTAAGCTTTTAACCGTTGCACTCCAAGATACATTTTTTCCTTATCAACCGTATTTTGCGGTGTTAAATCCGAATCAAACTACTTCTCTTGTTCCTAAAATCTGACTTGTGTATAATAAGGACCCCCTGGAGAACCTGAATGAATGGAGTTCTAACACAAACAAACTGATGGAACTCGTCATGAAGACAACACATCTCATCAACAAGGAGGAAATGGTAAGGGAGAATATGTCTAGCTAGGGTCAATGAAATCAACCTTGAACGCAATCCAAAGTAGAAGTGGGACGGGAAATCAACCATGTAAAGAAAGTACGAAAAATTCATAGTGCAGAAATAGAATGCATCTTGTATTTTTCTGTTCATTTAAAAAGTCTGGATTAAATCCCAAATTTGTTAGATTTTTTTTGACATATTTAACCTATATTTATATTTTTCCACAAAAATACATTAATTTATTTTTAAAGAATTAGGAGAAGCTCAAATTCAGTAATAGCTATTGAAAATTAAGGACCAAATAATCTAGAAATATAGATCAATGGGGTCTGGTGAGAGGGGGTGTTAGGAATTATTATATAAATTATATAAATTTTTATTTTTTTTTCAGGTGAATAAGCATCTACTGTCAGGAGGAGGAGCTGTTCAGGCTGAGTAAAATAATTCAAACAATTGTGGAATATTCAATACTAATGTAATTTTATGAACAAATTTCCTAGTGGACAATAAATAAAAAACCCATCTGAAACTTTAGTTTTAGCCAAAAACATGTTAAAAATTATATGAATGTCTTAAAAAATTAGGAAATGGTAATGGACCAAACTTCTGTAAAATTAAAAAAGAAGATTTTAGTTCCACATTTATTGAAAATATATTTCGGTCTGGGTTGACCCTCGTCAGTTCGAATGATAATAACCATCAAAATCGATTAAAAACAAATTTTTAAAAATTGTTAATAACCACAAGAAAATAAACAAACAAAGATTTAGAATAGAAAAAAATGGGCTGTCAAATGGACATAAGGGAAAAGAACTCAGATTATGAGATGGAAAAAAGATAATTTGCAAATATTCACTTGATAAAAAAAAAGTTAATTTCATGTAGAGGAGACCGGACATACAGAGTCTCAAAAACATGAAGATCGTCATTAATCTTTGAAACAATTTATTCCCAATTCTGACAAAATTTAAAGTAAAACGCTAGAGTTAATTGCAAAAATGTCTATTTTTATGCTTACTTCCAGTAATATTTACAGCACAAAATATGTAGCACACATTTTGGAAACGCTAAGACGACCTTCAAGTTTATTGGGTCACTTTGTACCTTGAAATTTAGTCGTTAAGTTCATTTAAGTAAGGAATACCTCAGAAATTAACGACCGTTTATTAAAAAAAACAATAATATAAGAAACGATCGCTTATCGTTTTTCTGAAAACAAGTGGGTCGTTTTAAAAATTATCGGTTTTTTTTGAGAAAATTAAACTATCGTTTTTGAAAATGATCGTTTAACGAAACAAAAAACGATCGTTATCAAAAGCGATTAACAAGCCTACCTACGCCTAAACCTAAACCTTCAGTTACACCTACACCTACATCAAAGAAAGGACCTTGTCCAAAGGGACAATCTAAACCTAAAAAATAAATGTTTTAAATAAAAATAGTTCATTTATAAATTTTGGTTGTACTGAAGAGGTTTAACTATAACTACAAAGATGATGCAAATTCTAAAAATTAGGTTATTCCACTTTAAATTAGTTTTAATTTGTAAATTATGAGCACGATTTTTTTTGTGATTTCGAAGAGTCAAAAAAGATAGTCAAATTCTAACATCTCAAATATTTTGTATGTTTAAATTTGCCCTTTGGTTTACCAATTCGCAACTTCAGAACGGGTATATAGTTTACATGAATAATCGAATTCCAACCGTTGCCATAATTTACAAATATTTGTGTTATACTTAGCTTTTAGGGCGATTCCCGCCAATCTTCCCTTTCCTCTTATTTGTTGCTCTATCTGTGAGCATTAAAAAAAAAAACGCGCATTTGAAATCTTTTTTTAATGGATATTCAAATTTGATGAAAATTGAAACTTTAAGGAAAAATGGGTCCAATTGGTTCAGCCGTTTTGACGTTTATTTGATACACACAAGCAGAGAAGCAAAGTATATATAAGAGAAGATACAGGGTGTCCAATAAACATGGGAAATAAGTGCGGACTTGAAATTAATATCTGGTTTCTGATATCTACTGCATGAGGAGAGAACTAAATGTATTGAGCTTTAAATAAAGTGGGAATCCATTCCTGACAAAGTTATAAAGACAATTTTGATTTATTAGGTCAAATTAAATCCGTACAAATGTCAAATAACGGCGCCAGTTTTTAAATGTTTTTAAAAAAATTATATACCACATGCTTCAAAACTTTTGCTAAAACTGGAATATATTGTGTTAATGATTAAATGTCACAGTGACTGAGAGTACAGACAAGTTACTTAATTCTTGTGTATATTGAGACACCCTAGACTGTGGACAAGGAAAGGGGTAAAGTATTTGTAACGCTTTAAATCTAAGAGAAACAATCATAGTTTATTAAATACAAGATTTACTTAATATGTGAAATCATATTATCACAATATTTTACCAATTATGCATTGTTTTGTTTTCATGGCATCGAAAGAAATTTTATAATGCTGTATTCTAACACTACTAAAATTAGAATGCCAGAAACATTAGTTTCTTTATTGGTAACTTAAATTGGTATCTTTAAAGCTAGTATCTAGTATCTAGTATCTAGTATCTAGCATCTAGCATCTAGCATCTAGTATCTAGTACCTAGTATCTAGTATCTAGCATCTAGTATCTAGTATCTAGTATCTAGTATCTACTACCTAGTACCTAGTATCTAGTATCTAGCATCTAGCATCTAGCATCTAGTATCCAGTATCTAGTATCTAGTATCTAGTATCTAGTATCTAGTATCTATAATCTATAAGTATCTAGTATCTATGTATCTATGTATCTAGCATCTAATATCTAATATCTAGTATCTATGTATCTATGTATCTATGTATCCATTATCTAGTATCCAGTATCTAGTATCTAGTATCTAGTATCTATGTATCTATGTATCTATGTATCTAGTATCTATTATCTTGTATCCAGTATCTAGTATCCATAGTATGCATCTTGTATTACATATGCAGTTAGAATTAAATATCTTGGTTGGCCTTGGCAATGACTTCTCATGCTTACTATTATCAAGCTTTACAGCGACCCACTGAACATGCGATTAATTCTGGTATGGAAGCTTATAGCTCTAATCGCTCATGTAATTTTTTTTCTGAAATAGAATTGAATAAATTCTAAAGATTCTTCATTGGTTAAAAAAATCAAGTTGGTTAAAAACTATTCTTCTAGAGAATATAAAATACTGTTACACTACTCGAAAAATGCGGCCATCATACGGCACCGATAGAACTGTAGGCTCAAAGTAACATNAAACTATAAAAACAACTAACCTTACCTTACCAATCGGATATTCAGTAAGTCAACACATCTGATATGAAATAAATGAAAGAAATCTATTCTGGTTAATGTAAATCAAAATATTAATTGATTTACAATTTACATATATGTATATTCATTATTCATCCATAAATCAAATATATACATTGTACTCAGACACCGACAAGAAATGCCTTTCATCAAAAAATCATGATTTACATTAAAAAAAATTTTTTTTAATATGACACATCACACAATATGTGCAGTGAACATGTAGGATTAATTTAATAGTTGTACTACAGCATTGAAGCAATTTCATAATAAGTGGCAGAACTTATAGTGAAAATATCTAAAAATACTTAATAAACCCCCTTTCTCTTTCCCAGGAATTCATGAATCGCTAAATTGCAAAACAGGGTGGACTTCTTGCCCCCTCCCCTACAGGGGGGGCAAGCATTCTTAAGGGAGGGGTATGCCCCCCCTTAATCAGGCTAGAGGTGCAAGCCTTCTGAAGGAAGGGAAATGCCCCCCTTAATCAGACTAAGGGGGGGCCTTTCCCCCCCCCCTAGTTGCGCGCCTGGTTGTAACTATTATGACAAACACTCAAAACTTCGGTTTAGTTGAAGTATCATATGGACTTTTAGGCTGCTAGGGAAATTTGTACAGTAAAAAAAGAGACTGTTGGCTGTAAAACCAAATAAATCAATCTCGTTCTTGTGAGACTATTGTAATAATCCCGTCACAGCAAAATTAAGCATGGCAAATAAAACTGATCCCAGCTTGTGGGATATATCCATCTATAATGCCCGAACAATTCAAAGTCCCGCGTTTATTCCTCCGGCGTCTTGATTCCGTAGAGAACACGCCCTTTGTACTTCCGACACGTGGTTAGGTAGGTTTCTGTTTCCGCACATAACCGGTTCTTTATCCAGCCGTGGACCAGTTCAGATATTGCTAGAAGATTCTGGAAGGAAGAAAAGTCTGGATCCGGTTTCCCAAGAACTCCAGCAACTATCTTACCAAGGAAGCAATTCTGGAATATTTTAATTAGTCTATATATAAATTTGGCTTGTCTGTCTGTTTGTTTGTATCCAATAAACGCCAAAACGGTTGAACCGATCGGGCCCAAATTTTTTGTGGGACATCTAGGGACCACAGGGAAGGTTTATGAATGATCAAAATTTCAAATTTTTGTGTTTAAAAGTTTTTTATTTTGAAAAATTTTGAAAATGCGCGAAAAAATATTATAAAATCTGCAAACTTTTTTGTTTTTGTTTTATACTGTACAAAGAGAAGATGTTCAGAGATAAAGCCACAATTAAAAGTTGAAATAAAAGATGGGCGCGAAGCGCCCTAAAAGCCTAGAAAGAAGGGCGCGAATTTCTAGTTAGTAAAAATTCAGTAAATATACTGCAGTATATTGACAGAAGTAGATAAAAGAAGGATGCAGTTTTTGTGGAGGAATAATTATTATTATATTAATCAGTGTTTTTTGGTGTAGATCTGATTGTACGAAATATGTTCAATAATTTTTCTTAATCTTGCATTTTTCGTCATAGTCAATTGTTTTTATAAATACCTGAAGTGCAATAAGATGATCTGTAGGAGAATAATGTGTATCATTCTTTAGAGAGACAACATTTGTTTTCAATTCTCCCGCTAAAGAGCTCTCATATCTTCAAGATAATAATTTGGAAGTCGATTCAAAAGAAAAAACCAACTGACATTAAGAATTTTTATCGTCAGGAAGTATGTGTAAGAAAATTTAAGAATTGAGAAAATGTAAATTTTTTAAATCTTATTAAACAAAGCTTTCCAATTTATTAAGAATATATATTCGTATATTTATTTTGCTTTGACAGACATTGAAAATACTCAGAATAAAGTAGTGCTCCTAACACAGTTTTACCCCATTTATTAGGGAAGCAAGTGATAACAATTACACTTAGAAGAAAGTAGCCTCAAAATAATTATTTTCCTGACCATGCATTTCAGATTTTTTGCAAACTGCCATTTCTCCATGTTCACGAACAATAGTTTTTTCTTGTCAAAATCTATTTCATCTTTCCTGGAAAAGAGAGTAAACAAATTTAGTTATATCTATGGTAGAGAGTAGAGAGTGGGAGAAAGCCCCAAAAATGTGTATTTGAATTTCTAATGCACTGATAATGTAAACGGTGTACATAAATGTTTTTGCAAAATTACAAAAATGTGTTTTAGAAAAATGCAAGTTATGGTCATGCAATAACTAAAAATAAACAACGATGTAACTTATATTAAGAGTGAAAATATTTCATCAAAAATGTTAAATCCTTTTTGCACCAGTATATACAGTAGCAAATTAGAAACAACATTTATAAGCAAAAAAATAAACTGAAAAAAAGATCAGTAAAATACGATAAAAGAAACAGAGGTCGGTTTTTCAATTATTTCAAAACATGTTGATGCTATTTACCGTCCATTTGTCCATTTTTTGATATTTAAAAAATTGTTTGTTAAAATCTTGAACACTAGACTCTGACAGATAAATATAAAAAAACGTTTATTGCGTAAAATTTGCTTCATTTTCAAGGAATTTTTACGAATTTCATGTTTCTGAAATCAGTGTTTCTAGACAGGTATTTTAATAGCCATCTAGATTTATCAAATTTTTTTCTGGCTTGAGTTTGTTTAGTGATTTGACTTGCACAAAAGTTGTAACCAGGCGCGCAANCTCTAACCCTGATTCTGAGCCTGAAGCTGAACCTGAAACTGAACCTCATCCTCACCCTGAACCTGAACCTAATCCTGTGCCTGTTCCCGAGCCTAAACGAAGACCTACAAAGGCGGAACTAGATTTAGAATTGAGGAAAATTATGAAAATGATGCAAATGTAATGCTATATCTTGTAATGTAATGTAAACCTGTTTAAATCTTTAAATGGATTAGCATAAAATAAATATTTAGATCTAAAAAAAAGTTGAAAAATAAAAAAAACTCAAATCCTTTTTTTTAAATGTTTCGAAGAAAACTTTTAAAACGGGGGCAATTTGAGCATTTTTATCAACAAAGTTTCAAAGTTTACTTTTATAAAATTGAAAGAAAACATTATTTTTTTTATTTTCTTTATTGGAGCAACAAATATTAAAATGGGAAATTTTGAAACTTTGACTGAAAACGGAAAATATGTGGTTAAAAGAGAAAAATACCGAACAGGATACATCCAGGAGTCTATAGCTACGCCTCCTTTAAACCTTGCATCAAGGGACAGGGTTCGTATAGTTGTACACCCACCCATACAATGTCCTGAAAACAAAAAAACAAGTAAATCTTTTATCAGTACTGGGACCAGATTTAATGAATAGTAAGACATGGTTAAACCACGTGGACTAAGTTAAACCACTTCTCTTGTTCACCGGCTCAAGCTGAAGAGAATTGATTTAACTTAGTTTACGCAGTTCACTGATGTTTCTCTATTCATTAAAGAAACTGTACGCGTTATTTTAAGTGACCCTCAAATTAAAAAGGGGTATGCACGATTTACAACGGTTTATACCTTCAGGTTGCAAAGATATAAGGATAAGAAAGTTTGAGTTTATGGCAAGAACTCAATTCTTTAATGTTGCAAAGTTTTGTAAATAAAAGCTAAAAACAAAGAATACAATTTAAATTATACTTTTAATCATGTCTCCTCAGATTCTACCTGCAATTATACAGTTTTCTATTTCGAGTTTTCCTTTGAAAGATTCAAGACCGATCCTTTCATGGTTTACGCTAAGAGTCTCTGAGTACTTGATAAACAAATCCTTAATATTAATATTGTCAAAATACCTATTTTATGCAGAATGTCTTACAAACATGACAGTTGGTGAATAGTTTTGAATGTCTTCTTCCATTTACTGTATTATAAAAAACTTTTCGCAGTTTATTTCGCTTAAAAATTTGTTTACTCAAATATGTTTTATTAGAAGACTAAATGTCACAAATAAATTCAAATACCAAAGACGACTTTCAAGTCGTCTTGCTATTGTCATGTTTCGTGGGACACCCTGTATATAAAAAACTTTTCGCAGTTTATTTCGCTTAAAAATTTGTTTACTCAAATATGTTTTACTTTGAAATTAAAACTATTTTATGAATGCAATATAATATTTTTTATTATTCTCTTTGGTATCAAACAACTTAACAAATAATGGAAGAAGCCATTTAAAACTATTTACCAACTGTCATGTTTCGTGGGACACCCTGTACCTTATATATAAGTTTTTGTCGAGATCTTTTTATGGTATAATCTGCTTGTAATAATAATTCTCTTCTCAATACTCAATAGTCTGCTTCTACTTCTCTATAATATAAAAATTTCGTGCGTTCAAAATCTATTGTTTTAAATTTGTTTATGTTTGGTCGGACAAATGTTTTTCATAATGAGAAAAGGAAATTTTATAGACTTTTGCTTTGAGCACCCGTACAGTAGAAAACCCTAAACTGTTTTAAAAGAACCAGAAAATAATGCTTCATTCCTCATCATAACCCAAGATATCATCCCTCATCATAACCCCGGATATCATCCCTCATCATAACCCTAGAAATCATCCCTCATCATAACCCCGGATATCATCCCTCATCATAACCCCGGATATCATCCATCATCATAACTCCAGATATCATCCCTCATCATAACCCTTGATATCATCCCTCATCATAAACCTAGATCATCCCTCATTATAATCCCAGATATCATCCCTCATCATAACCCTAGATATCATCCCTTATTATAATCCCAGATATCATCCCTCATCATAACCCTAGATATCATCTCTCATCCTAACCCTAGATATCATCCCTCATCATAACCCCAGATATATCCCTCATCGTAACCCTAGATATCATCCATCATCATAACCCCAGATATATCCCTCATCATAACCCTAGATATATCCCTCATCATAACCCTAGATATCATCCCTCATTATAACCCTAGATATCATCCCTCATCATAACCCCAGATATCATCCCTCATCATAACCCTAGATATCATCCCTTATTATAATCCCAGATATCATCCCTCATCATAACCCTAGATATCATCCCTTATTATAATCCCAGATATCATCCCTCATCATAAACCTAGATCATCCCTCATCATAACCCCAGATATATCCCTCATCATAACCCTAGATATCATCCCTTATTATAATCCCAGATATCATCCCTCATCATTACCCCAGATATCAAACTTGTCTGTTAATGTGTAAATACCTGCAATATACCATTGTCTAGGCTAACAAGTGAATCCAAGCACTGGCTAACTTCACTTTACAAAAAGAAAAATTTATTTAAATGTAAAATACGGATCCGAAATTTAAAAATAATTGCTTTTGATCACAACAAATCAAAATAAAAAACAGAAACTCAAGCTAAATCCATTCCTTCTTTTCTTTAGTTTGCTATGATTTCTTGAAACGAGAAATTATGTTTAATGAAACAATCACAAATACACTATAGTTTCAGTGAAAGAAAATATTTTCATTTACAGTTAGCGCCGATTAAAGGATTCATATCTCTAATTGGATAATGAGATAGATAGAAAGATGTTACCGCAATACTATTTTTATTGGTTCAGAATAGACAACAAACACATGACTGAAACCCTGATTGAATCAGGCGCTGATGGACTCGGCATGCAGGAGTGAATATTATACACAAAAGAATCGAGTCTTTGCCAAAAACTCTAATTTTCTAATCTCTGATGTAGAGACTAGTAGATAATTAAATTTTGTGGTCAAGAGTCAATTCATTTTCTATTTTTGGTCATATTTGGATCAGTCTTATACTTTTATTTATGAATTAAAATCTTTCTTTTTATTCTTTCTTTTATATGTATTCACCCTTAAAGAACATGAATCAAGATATAAAACTTCTTTAAAATCTTGATATCTGCGTAGTGTGTATCCATGAAAAATGTTTTTTTGGAATTTTTTTTCTTTTCCTAGTTCTGTATTTCAGTTGTCTTGCTCTTAGTTCGGTTTCATTCGCTCCTTGATTTAGACAAATCTAGATTTGAGGAAATTTTGAAAGAAATTTTATTTAAATGATTCACGGAATTTTGTTTTTGTTATTTTCCTCAAAAAAAAATGAGCACTAACATCAAACTGTAATTACAAATGCTTATATTTTTGCAAGCTGATAGTGTAAAAATTTTATCTTTTTAACAAAATTTTAAATATAAAAGTATTAAAGTTTTAAAAAAATAAAGTTTGTAGCAAATGCATGTTTAGTCACTAAATTTTTTTTAAAACCTTCTCAAAGTAATAGCTTAAAATAATAATAAAAGGGTTATTCAAAGTAAATGTAATTAATTTGAAAAACCAGATGTTTTCCTTTTGGTAGGGTTTTGATTGATCTCCAGGATATTTTAGAGTCAGGTGAGCTCATCATCATTCTATTCAACATTGTATATATTTTTTTTTCAAGAAGACGTGGCATGCTAATTAAGTCTCTGCTCTTTTTTTGATATTTACCTCACAAAACCTGCTGATAAGTACATATCCTAAATAATTGTATATCTATGGTACATATACTGTCAGGGTATATCCCTGGTCCAAGAAGCATGTACGTATATTTTTAATCTTGTTTTTTTTTTTTTCATTCGAATTAAAGCGTCATAAAAAATACAATATTAAAGGAATAAATTAAATTTCTTGGTTCTGGTTCTGGTAAAAAAAGTAAAAATTACCTAATACTAGCGCTGTTATCACCATGCTCCAATGCCGCTACATAATATCCCTGAAATACAGTAAGTTATTTCGAGATTTGTTACGCTATTTTAAATGGGGGTTAACAAATGTTTTCTTATTCTAATTTAATAGGCTTTGGATTTTTTCTGGTCAAATTGGTATAATCGTTAAATTCCAAAAAGTAGTTTTTTTTAACGGTAAATCCTCAAAAAAAAACGCGAACTTAAAGACTTAGAAATTAGATTTTTATTATCTCTAAAAATATGCCCTGAACAGTGAACACTCATAGAAATAAATAAATAAGTTATAAGCATCCTATAGTTGTAACAATAATTAGTAGAAAGATCCAAGGCGACAATTACTCCACTGTTTTCTAGTGACCACTACGTATGAATACCTGTGATGCAATATCTGTACAGAGGAAGGAGTATGTGGTTCTACATGCGGACAGCATATGAGAGAAAATTACAACTGGAAACCTAATAATAATATGATTCAAATATTAGTTTTAAGTAAAAAAGAGACATTTATTTTTGTTCTAAAACATAACAATTCTAAAGTCTAAGTTGAAATAAAAACTTTTTGTTTTAAAAATATATTGCAGGCATTCTACTTTCCGCAGTATAAAGCAGTCAATGCATTCAGTCTCTTGAGTTCTTATTGTAAAGTAATGAAAATTGGCCGAGTTTAAATAGTCGCCAGGCCTTTTCATCATGGTTAAAGGGAGTGTTCGCGAAAAATGAAAGGGGGTATAGGCTTTTTGTATAGGGAGTATAGGCTATTTGTATATAGTTGATTTTTCATAATATGTTTTAATTGTTATGATCTGAGAGTTACTTATAAAAACATTCCAGGAATGTTCGAAAACAAGTTGTAAGCTGAATATTATTTAAAAAAATAAAATCAAAAACATATTATGGAAAATCAACTATATACAAATGTGGCAAAAGATAATCGATGACTATTGTAATATCTGAATGATTTGTTTGAAATTAAATAGATTTTTTACGGTCTAAGCCGTATGTTGCATCTTTCTGAATTTGTATGGACACTGCGTTCTTCGGTATTTGTCGTTTTTAACAATTTTCTCCTTATAGACGCAACAGATAAAAGTAAGATTAGTAGCGATCAAAAGCGATTTTTTATCGCATTAAGCCTATACCCCCTTTCATTTTTCGCGAACACTCCCTTTAAACCTTGCCATCCCAACCTCGTCAGATCATCCACTGTGCCTGATTTAAATTAAAGTGAGTTGGTATAGTGTAAAAGTTTAACCCAGAACTCGCCTTGACAATTTTAATACTATTATACCTTGATTTCAGGAATGGTAAAATTAACTATTTACCCATAAAATATGCTGGAACAGTTTAATACTATTATACCTTGATTTCAGGAATGATAAAATTAACTATTTACCCATAAAATATGCTGGAACAGTTTAAAAGAGCTCAATATGATTAATTAAAAAACTAAATATCTGCAGCATTCTATTATCAGAGGGTTTAGAAAACGACATTTTATATAAATTTCGTAGAGGCCCCGAACTATAATTTTATTTCTTCAAACTCTAAAGTGACTTAAATATAAATCACCTTTCTCCATCTGGTTTACTTCCTTCATTCACGGGGACTACTGGGTTCGAGGTCAGTCGGCGCAGCATTTTACCCTAGAAATAATAATAGTAATAATAATAAAGAGATAAATGACTAGAAGACTGGAGGACTAAAGAGGAGTAGAGGACTAGCGAGGACTAGAGAGGACTAGAGAGGACTAGAGAGGACTAGAGGGGACTAGAGGACTAGAGGACTAGAGAGGACTAGAGGACTAGAGTACCAGAAAGGACTAGAGGACTAGAGAGGACTAGAATATATAACTAGTTGAATGGAGTACTAGAGGACTAGAGGATTTGAGGATAGAGGAATAGAGGAATAGAGGAATGGAGGAATACAGGACTAGAGGAATGAAGAATAGAGGAATGGAGGAATAGAGGAATAGAGGAATGAAGAATAGAGGAATGGAGGAATAGAAGAATAGAGGTATGAAGAAAAGAGGAATGGAGGAATAGAGGAATAGAGGAATAGAGGAATAGAGGAATGGAGGAATAGAGGAATAGAGGAATGGAGGAATAGAGGAATAGAGGAATGAAGAATAGAGGAATAGAGGAATGAAGAATAGAGGAATGGAGGAATAGAGGAATAGAAAAATAGAGGATTAGAGAACTGGAGGACTAAAAGATATTTTGAGGACCGATTGACTAGAGGATTTGAGGACTAGAGGAGTTAAAACTACTAGACTACAGGACTGACACACTAGAGAGCTAGAGGACAGACTACATTTTATGCAACCTGGAAGTTGAACAGCTCGTATTATTATAGTAGTAGTGTATTAATCCGACCTGGAAGTTGTATATCCCTGTGTTGATAAGAAAAGACTTGAATGCGGGTGAATACTGGAAGTTACCTTCCACGTAGGATTCTGCGTACCTAGAAAATGAAGTGTATTAAAGAGACCAGTCACGTGATTTTATTTAAAGAGTATCTTGACCGACGGTAACCAACAATGCTAACCTTTAAACTTTAGTCTTGGCATATATGTTTGATTTGTCTTTGTATTGTAAATCTGGTATGTGAATATGAATCTGGTATCTGAATATGAATCTGGTATCTGAATATGAATCTGGTATGTGAATATGAATCTGGTATGTGAATGTGAATCTGGTATTGGAATGTGAATCTGGTATGTGAATATGTTTCTGGTATGTGAATGTGAATCTGGTATGTGAATATGAATCTGGTATGTGAATGTGAATCTGGTATGTGAATGTGAATCTGGTATGTGAATGTGAATCTGGGATGTGAATGTGAATCTGGGATGTGTATTGTGTACCTTTTTAAATATTATGTATTCTACTATGTATAGATTTGCAATGTTACATATGAAACACATTTTGCGTCCTCAAATATAGTGCATCTTTAATATGCGTCATATAACCGTTGTTACATGACAGGTTAAACACATCACCCAAACCAAAAACTATTAGTGCAAATAATGTTGGGGCCTGAAAACCCCTTGAAATCAATAGATTTCACTGGTCGGGGGGGCTTAGCCCCCTGAATACGCCTCTGAATTAACGCTTACTTAGGATCAGGCAACCATAGCGGCCACCTAGATAAAAAAACAACTAAAATTTTAGATAAATTGGAATTGCAGTCTTTGCCACATACTCTGTTTTTCTAATCCTTATATCTTTGCAAACCAATGTTGGTATAGACCTGAAATATTTCAAACTATAGAATTCTGTGGGATCAAAAATAATAATTTAAGTTTTATACGCTCTGAGGCCGAATTTAAAGAATTTAAGTCGCGGCTCAAATATGGTTGGTTCCACTTAAAATTGTATTAAATTTTAAGATTTAAGCTGGCGCTCAATTGAAACCGGTTTTTGGGGATCTGAGACGCGGCTTAAATTCATTAAATTCGGACACAGGTCGCAAACATATAAGACTTAGAAATTTGAGTTTGTGGCAAAAACTCGATTTTTTTCTTGAAGAGTTTTTTTGTTGGTTTTCCTTGAAGAATCACATTTATCTGATGAGGGATAGTACAGACGGAACAGAAGGGGTAACTTCGACTCATGTTCAACAGTAAACACATCAATGCATCCAACAGTGTACCTAAAAAAAAGTTTATTACTCGGTAAACAATGCATTTGAGGCGCTTTGTGCCCTCTCTCTTGTAGCTTTGAGTAGTTGCTTGCCATGAAATGATGCCACCAGATTTGTTGTACATCATGAAAGAGTTTGCAGATGTTGTTGTTGTATTGGTGGATTTCCAACATCTAAAATCTAGATAATAATAATACTTTTTAATTTTGAGAACTATAAACCTTCCCTGGGGTCACGTGAGATTTAAAATCTGATTATTCTGCGCGCCGGGATTTAAGTTTATTTAATACAGACAAATATGCTTTTATGTACAGGGTGTCCCAAAAAACATGTGAATTCAGTGACGAATTCGATATCGTCTTTGTTATGAATTAGCATTGTAATATCTAATTTCAAAAGCCATAATAGTATTATGTCTGCTAACGTTTATTTTATGAAAAGGGTAAAAGACTGCAAAGATGTGTCTATAATGTCTCCGCAAGATGAACAGTGAATACGGACAAGTTTACTCTGTTTGTATACTGTAATTTTCTTGTTTTACTAAGTACAACCGGTTGCAGTCAAAACATAAACAAACAAAATGTAAACATAGCAGACGAAACTCTTACAGATTACAGCTTTCTCAGTAGGTATCACTATACTAAATCAAAGAATTATTTGAAAAGACGATATTGAATTCGTCGCTGAATTCCCATGTTTATTGGGACACCCTGTATGATAAGCAATAAATGCCTTTTTTCTGTTACTAGCAATTTTTTGTGTACAGTTGAATGTTAATGCTAGTTTTTAAATTATATATTTACAAAAAGTTTTGGAAAACAAATATTTTCATGCATGAAAAATATTTGGAAACATTTCACTAAAAGTTAAAATTTGGAATATTGTAATGATTAACGCTTTTCTATCGATTACATTTACAGACATAATTAATCTTAGGGTTTTCGAGATCAATCATTTGCTCCTTTAGAGAAATGGTCTGTACAAATGTCTTTCTCTAGTCCTGGTATACTTCATTTCATAAATTCCATTAATGTTCTCTCTCTATATGTTTATATTTATCTCGCAGAGTATGAAGGAATATGATTTATCAGCTTATTATTTTATTGATCTAAATGCATCTGTTTATATTTATTCTTGTTGAATCAGCTTCCTATATGGTTAGTCTGTAAACCCCGATGTCAAAGACATTAGATATTTCATATTATTAATTGTATTATAAATCAAAAAGTCTAAGTTTGAAATATAAAATGTTTACACCATCGGGTTGCAAAGATATAAGGATGCAAAGTCAAAAAGTCGTCTTCTTATTCCAGAGTTTTCTGGTTCTCATAAACGATGTTATTATTTTTATTCACAGTGCTATAACATTTTTGTCTGGACGTTTAAAGATGTTCGAACAAAAATATCAGTTTCAAATATCCATCCCAATCTTATTTTTAAACTGTTTAAGTTTGGAGGACCAAGAGCACTAAAATTACAAAAAATAGTTTGTATAATTTTATGAAATTTAGAAAGCAAATTGTATGCTTGCTATAGCCTTGCAGTATATAAACCATGTTTGGAGGTTTAACCGTTTACTTTACTCTCACATTTTAAAGCACAAGGTTCCATTTACATAAAAAACAAATTCTGAATGGCTTTAAAATACAAAGTAACAACAGCAATATAATTCTTGTGATATTACAATAACTAACAATAATGTTTCCCTGGTTGTATCTGTGAGAACTAATAAATAATCCGAAAAATATGTTTGATCCATCACATTAAAACTTTAATTATCATAATATATGTTTTAATGTTATAATTCCACTTTTCAAAATTGCCAATTTTAAAAAGTAGCAAAGAAAAAATGTTACTGAAGTAAATAAATTCCAGAGCAAAGAATTTGCGGAGCCACCCAAAATCCCAACCAATCCAAGAATTGTATCAAGATTGATTTATTTACAATGAAGAGGTGAGCTATGGAACATTATTTTGCTCGGGACCTCCCGGTCAACTTCTTAGTATTTACCAAACTGGACCTTGCCCCCCTAGTAAGCATTTATTAGCTTCCATCTACTAAGCATTTATAAGTTTCCATCTACTGAGCATTTATAAGTTTCCATCTACAAAGCATTTATAAGTTTCCATCTCCTAAGCTTTTATAAGTTTCCATCTGCTAAGCATTTATAGTTTCCATCTACGAAGCATTTATAAGTTTCCATCTCCAAAGCTTTTATAAGTTTCCATCTACTAAGCATTTATTAGTTTCCATCACAAAGCATTTATATGTTTCCATCTTCTAAGCATTTATGAGCTTCCATCTCCTAAGCATTTATATGTTTTCATCTTCTAAGCATTTATAATTTTCCATCTCCTAAGCATTTGTAAGTTTCCATCTACTAAGCGCTTATGAGTTTCCATCTTCTGAGCATTTATAAGTTTCCATCTACAAAGCATTTATAAGTTTCTATCTCCTTAAGCATTTATGCGTTTTATCTTCTAAGCCTTAATAAGTTTCCATCTACAAAGCATTAATAAGTTTTCATCTGTTAAGAATCAATAAGTTTCCATGTCAATCTTTCCAGAATTGGCATACTCTGTTGAAAATTTAAAAATAGAGAAAAACCAAAAACCCATCCGTTTCGTTTTTGTTTTTAGCATCAGTTTTTAAGAAGTAATTGGCAATATTCTCATCAATTTTTGTGTGGGAGCTTGCAACATTTGGATCACTGTGGATTTTGGAAAATCTGAAGAAAAGAAAAAAAATGATTAAATTTTTAATATAAACTGGTATAGGCTTTTTTTCAGCAATAAGTCTGTTGAAACAAATTAGGTTATAACGCTAATTTCAATTGCGCATACCAATTTTATAGCGAAACGACATATTATTCAATATAAAATGTATAATTAAAAAAGAAAAAAAAAACAAGAATAGTTATTGACTCTTAATTGTTGTCTTCCTTTGAAACTATCTTGCCATGAATATCTGTTTGAAACTTTAATTAAACTTTTAAAAGCTTCTTTCCAATGATAATATATAAAAAAATGTTTTAATGTCGCACATTGTGTTAAAGTATTCAAACGTAATTAAGGGGGAAGAATATCGCAGGAAGGAATAGAAGTAGTATAAAATAATGCACGACTGATGCAAAAATGTTCATTAATTTAATGATGATGCCAATGACGACCTTTTACTTCTGTGCCTTTTCTACAACAAAGTGATAGTGTCTTTCTTTAAGATATCTAGCAATGGAAGATTTACAAGATCTTAACATAGGCTTACGGAAAAATACGAGTTTTTCTCGGGATGAATCAGTCCCTTGAAATAGATACAAAGTGTAATATTTTGTAAAAGTTAACTTATTAAGAAGTACCTAACAACAATAAAGTATAATGGGCCCTGGACAATCTGTTACAATTTGTTATAATGTTTGATTTATTGATTCAAACGTAAAAATTGATTTTCTAAATGGAGTTCCTGGGCCCCAAAGGTTTTAAATCATAAATGTGTCAAGTACGCCTCCACATTGCGTTTCTGTCGTATATAGATGAGTTCCTACTGTTTAAGGGCAGTTCTGAAAGTTTCAAGAAGACATTTAAGATTAACTTCTTAAAAATATATTAGATTTTTGTTATAAATCAGAAATGTACTTAATCATATGTAAAAAATATTAAAGCTACATGCAGATTTCATTGATGTGAAAAACAAGCAAAAAAAAAGACATTTTGTTTTCCATTTTTTTATTTGGGGTTATAATATTTGGTTTTATCAATACTTGGTTCAATTACCAAAACCATGAGATGCAATTATCTGGTGCTATGTCAATTGGACTAACGGTTGAATGGACTAACTCTCAATTCTATTTAAGTCAGCTGTTCACTTATTGAATTTGTGATTTAGCCTATAGTATATAAGTTTTAACTTGGCTTAAAATCACTTACAGGGTGTCCAAAAAAAACATGGGAATTTAGTGACGAATTCGATATCGTCTTTTCAAATAATTCTTTGATTTGGTATAGTGATACCTACTGAGAAAGCTGAAATCTGTAAGAGTTTCGTCTGCTATGCTCACATTTTGTTTGTTTATGTTTTGACTGCATACGGTTGTACTTAGTAAAACAAGAAAATTGCAGTATACAAACAGAGTAAACTTGTCCGTCTTCATTGTTCCTTGCGGAGACATTATAGACACATCTTTACAGTCTTTTACCCTTTTCATAAAATAACCTCTAGCAGACATAATAATATTATGGCTTTTGAAATTAGGTATTACAATGCTTATTCATAGCAAAGACGAAATCCAATTCGTCACTGAATTCCCATGTTTTTTTGGGACACCCTGTAGAAAAAAATTGTTTTAGTGCAAATTTTAAGGGCCGGTGTATAAGGAAACGTTGATATCCTGTTCAGCGTTGATAATTATATTTTTTTCCAACATTTGAATTCTGCTGTGTTATGTAAAACACTAATCTTGTTTTTTGACCTGTACCCTGTATTTTTTGGAAAGCAACATATTATTTAAATTTTTCAAAGCTTATCTGTCCAAAATAATTTAAATTAATAACAATCATATGTATAAAGGCGATATCTCATCTGAACAGCTTCAATTTGTAATGTTTTAACTATTTGCTGGTTTAAATTTCATAATGTTAGACTTTAGTATGAGGATTAAATTATGGATCAATATTAACCTAATTTGAACAACTGAATAAATTCAAGTATATTAAATGCTTTTTTATTTCCGATGTGGTATCGTAAAAATGGAATCGAGCGTTAGTTCAAATTGTCAGTAGTCCAATTGATAAAGCATCTCCGACATAAAATGTATTAAATGTCATCCTCTATCTCTGAACACCTTCACAACATTATACTTTTATGGTGTTTTGAGTTTATGTAGCATTATATTAATTTTCTACTTTGTGCTTACAGGATGCGTGTTGGTTCGTTCTCATCTTTCCAGTAATCTTTAGAGTTTTTTCTTCCTAATATAACTACAAGTCATTATTACTTTAAAAAACAAGCTTAAATTTTAGGTTTAATTTTATGTTATGTAGATTATTCTTTAATTTGTCAACAACGATGGTTAGAGTTTTAATATTATACAGTGAAAATTCGATTTTCCCTGAATTTGACCTTTCGTATGATATACACAGACAATTTTATCATAAATGTTTTAGCTATAATTTTACAATATTGGAAGATAGAAAATATTGATAATTTTGATATTACTACTCACGTTCATTGATTTTGATATTACTACTCACGTTTATTGATTTTGAATTGTCTGGACAAAATATTGAAACTGAGGCAATGTTTCTGCAAAATTTAAAGTATCGATTTTTTAATACATACTGGAACATATTTGTTACATTGTAAGATATCGACCAAACAATTTCGTCCAGAAAATCTTACCTAATCTAACCTAATCTTACCCGAAGACAAATATTTTTCAAAAAAAGTTGAATTTGGTTGGTCTGAGGGAACAGCTTTAATTTAAACAATTTTGAAAAACTTTAAATTCAATTTTTCAAGAGATGGTACCAAGCAACTTATTCAAAAGGGGGAGGGGGGGGTGAACATTTGTCGTTGCACCCCCATTTTAAGAGAATTGGGGCTAAACCTGACCCCTTGCACCCCCTGACGACGGGCATGCCCCCCCCACCATTACTTGTTCAGTTCTGCTCTACTGATTGTAAGATTGTGATTCCCCTTTTTAGCAAAATAAATTACATCAGATGGAAATAAGAATATTTTACCTTCCCGTCCCCTTGGGTAGATGGACAACACCTTCACAGATTGGAAGCTTAAAAGGCATTTTATCTCTGAAATATCATTTAGCTCTGAAATATTATTTTTATCTCTGAAATATTATTTTATCTCTGAAATATTATTTTTATCTCTGAAATATTATTTTACTCTGAAATATTATTTTACTCTGAAATATTATTTTATCTCTGAAATATTATTTTTATCTCTGAAATATTATTTTTATCTCTGAAATATTATTTTACTCTCTGAAATGTTATTTTTATCTCTGAAATATTATTTTACTCTGAAATATTATTTTTATCTCTGAAAAATTATTTTACTCTGAAATATTATTTTATCTCTGAAATATCATTTAGCTCTAAAATATTATTTTATCTCTGAAATATTATTTTATCGCTGAAATATCATTTAGCTCTAAAATATTATTTTATCTCTAAAGTATTATTTTATCTCTGAAATATTATTTTATCTCTGAAATATTATTTTTATCTAAGAAATATTATTTTACTCTGAAATATTATTTTACTCTGAAATATTATTTTATCTCTGAAATATTATTTTTATCTCTGAAATATTATTTTACTCTGAAATATTATTTTTATCTCTGAAATATTATTTTACTCTGAAATATTATTTTTATCTCTGAAATATTATTTTTATCTCTGAAATATTATTTTACTCTAAAATATTATTTTACTCTGAAATATTATTTTATCTCTGAAATATTATTTTTATCTCTGAAATATTATTTTACTTTGAAATATTATTTTTATCTCTGTAATATTATTTTTATCTCTGAAATATTATTTTTATCTCTGAACTATTATTTTATCTCTAAAATATTATTTTATCTCTGAAATATTATTTAATCTCTGAAATAAATTTTTTATCTCTGAAATATTATTGTTTTATCTAGCTTTGGCTTTTAAAAGTGACGGAGATATTAAACATTTAAAGGGATTGACCTGCAATTTATTGTAGTTTAACTGAGAATGTAATATTGTATAGTATTTTTTTAGGATTCATTTGATGCATATTTGTTCAGCAAGAGCGCGAATTCAATCTTTAAAATCCTCATAGATTGTCAATTTTGGAGGGATGATTTTGAGAATCGGTTTTATTTAAATTATTCAAAGACGACCACGAAAAATGTAATTTCCAAAATTCGACAGTAAACTCACAAGTTGTTTAGGAACAGGTTGAGAAAATAAAAACTTACTCTTATCATCGAAAATAATTAATCTTATTCAGTTATTATTTTCTGTAATGTCTTAAGCTTAAAGGTTCTTTTCAATTTTGCACAAGCGAGTGACAAAAATTCCAAGAATAAGGAAGTGAAATGTAAATAATTATAATAACATTAAAGACGTCTGCATTTATACTTTATGTATTTGTTTTTCAAGGACAAATATTTAGAAGATATTTTTCTCTTAAAAAAAATGTTTGGAGTATTGAAACTCTTTGAATAATTAATCCTCGGCGGGCGGCGGTTCTTTCGATCGTCCTCCGCCCTCTATCCCATTGGACCCTTTGCAATAAAAAAGAGAATTTAAAAAAATAAGGGACTGTTTAAGGAATTTCAGTGAACATCCATTTAAAGAGATACAGGTGTGATTCACACCATTTCTCTTTTAAACGTTTGTCTGATCAATGATGTCAGAGATATCCTTATTCTATGGCTGAAAATTGAGTGCATAGAAACCTAATTCTTATCTAGAATAATAGTCCTTCTTGATCACTGATCAGCGGCAAAGGTTGATGGGCACAATTGGGAATCGAACATGCAACTCCGCAAAGAACAAATTTGAATTTACACCTACAGTCCCTTTAAGCAAAAATATAATAATTTCGAATGGGAAAAAAGATCACGAAAAAATGATGTGAAAAAATGATGTGAAAAAATGACGTGAAAAAAAAGATCACGAAAAAATGATGTGAAAAAAATTTAATTCTTATTTTACAACACCACGCAACCCAATGGTCTTCACAAGACTGAGACCTATAGATATACAATTTATCTAGACTGAGACTTTCCGAGACATTGTTGGTACTCTTACGACCGACCTTTAAGAAACGGACCTACGAGTTTTCTGACCTAAAGATTTATCAGATTTAAAAATATTCTATACTAACTGGAGGGCCCGGCGTTGCCCATGGAAAAAAATATTTGAAAAAAAAAAAAATTGAGAAAAATTTTTGAAAAATTAAATTTTTTTTTTTAGCCTATAACACCCCTATGAATGTCCACAAAAAATGTCAACCCAATCGGTCTAGCCGTTTGACCGGCTATAGGCAACATATATACAAATGTCCTGTTTTATTTTATAGATAGATAAGACAATGTTGATGGAATAAGGATTTAAAGGTTTGCAAGCTCTCACGTACAAATCTCAGAGAATGCTGCCAATAACATTTTATAAACTAATGTTAAAAGCAAGTGCTTTTAATTTCTAAAATATAAATGTATAGGGCTACAAAAAAGTATGAGGGAATAAGTGCAGTGAAATCAGATACCAAGTGGATTCGACAATTAAATTTTAAAAAATTTAATACAATTTCAAAAAGAAGTTTGGATCTATAGTTCATAATAATGGGGGAAGGCGATTTAAAACTAAAACCCAACGGGTCAGGCAAGTAAAAACTATTGAATAATTAGTTCGGATACTTTGTAGGTTGGATTTAATAGCATCGTTGTGGTTATGCATTAACCGTGCAGTTTAACAGGGTTAAATATTGTTTCCAGAGAGAAATAATCTAATTTATAAAACTGTAATACTAAATTTTACAATCTAATTTTTTATTGTTAAAAAGTAACATTGGACCAATGCTCATGAACTTTGATTAATATTTTGCAAAGGTTTGGTTATTATTGGCATGACATGTAAAATGCATAAAATGCATTCATGCAGCTTCTTAGGCAACAAAATAACAAATTGACATATTTTTAAAAGTCAAAAACAATAATTTTATTTGTCTCGAGGTCCTCTGTTGAGGGAAATGAAGCACAGGTTCTTGTCTATGGTTCTTGTTCTCAACAAAATATTGAAGTTTTTCATTTGACTAGATGTATGCAGGGGTAACCGAGATGATACGAAATTACGAAATTTATATAAAGTTGTAATCTTTGTTTGCTTCTTCGTTTTCCGATCATAACTCATGAACTCTTTGACCGATTTGCCTCAGATTTTGAATGGGAGACTCGGGAGAATCACTGGAATGTTCTGTGCTTGGTTTTGATATTCTTAATTGAGTGGGTCGATATTAATAAGAAAAAATAATCAAAATCATAATATACGAGTAGTTAAAAAATTATACGAAAGAAAAAGCAGGTTTAAAGGGAGTATACAGTGTTGTGGAAAACTTCTGAAAACGTATCTGGTAATAATTAAACCTTCACTCCCTTTAATTATTACCAGATCATTATGAAATTAAATTAATAATGTGTCTAGGATGTTAGGACTATGTGGCAAATAGATTATCGGATTTGCTTTACTTTGCTCAGAATAATGACTTATTTTTTATTAGGTTGAAGTTTTTTTTTAACACTCTTCATAAAATCTATGGTTCATCTTTGATCGTGATAAATCATTCTACAACATTTAGAATAATTGCTTTAATTTCTTCAAAGGTTAATCTTTGAGAGAATTTCTCTGGAAACAATGACAAACTAAAATCTTGTAAATCTTTTTTTAAAGAGTTCTTAAATAGAAAAAACTTAAATTGTATTTTAAATTGTCTCATTTGTTATACAACATTTTAACAGTTATGATAACTTTGCACTATGTGAAGAAGATTGAAATACTATAAAATTAATAAATAAATAAATAAATAAATAATTAGATAAGACTCAGATTACGACTTTAAGTAGTCCAAAGAACATGAATGTAAAAACAGACCAATAAAACAGACAAGTTGGGTTTTAAGCAATTGGTAAATCTCCCTTGTAAAAATATCCAGTTAAACTATTTTGTATGCATTCCATTACTTAAACCATGCATAAATAATCTTTCCTTCCGATTAGACTCTCTGAAATTAGGCGTATATTTGATTTTACATATTTGTACTGTCTGTAATCAATACAAACCCTTTGTTTCGTAAATGCAATTTTTAGATTTTATGTGAATCCCAGTTTTGGAGAAGGGAGGGGTTACTTGGGATTAACCATCACGGACTCCTATTTAAAAATCATTGAGCCAGAACTTTGTAACCCGTTTTCATCCGTTAAATAATGATTTTTTGAATTTTCTATTTTGTACTTTTTGTTAACTACTTCTAACGTGCATAATTTTGTTCACACAATTTTCGAAAGATTTTGAACAAGAGATAAAAATATGTCTTTTACAGGATGCACTTTGTTGTATTTAGTTTTACGTGACATGAGTCCGAATTTTTAAGAATTGGAGCCTTAAATTTTAGACGCGGCTTGATTAGATTTATAATATATATCTATATATATACTTTGCTTGTCTGTTTGCCTATCTGTCTGTTTGGATCCAATAAACGTCAAACCGGGTGAACCGATCGGGCACAAATTGTGTGTGGGACCTCGCATGACCCAAGGGAAGGTTTTTGAATGATCAAAACTTTAAAAATTTGCCTCAAAAAATTTTATTTTCATTAAATTTGAAAAAATCCACAAAAATTTTTTCTAAGATTTTTTTGCGAAGCGCCCTGTAGTATATATATGTCTTTTTTAACGTCTTAAATTAGATTCAGTGTTTCTAAACACTGTCTATAAAATTTGTTTATACTTTTTTCTCGTCTCTTGGCGCTTTTCCCAAAATAGCTTATTTTAAGTTTTTTCTTTTTATTACAATTTCTAATTTTGCTCCCCCACCCCTAATTCTTCAATTTTGTCTTTTCATTCATCGATACGGTATGCCATGAAAAACTTCCTAAAACGATAAAATTAGTATTATTCCCATTATTTACTATCTCTGTTATACCTTTACGCTTAAATTTATTCAAAAGTTTTTTTTGGTACATTTTTTTCTTCCCTTAGTGCCTTTCCACAATAACCTATCTATGTTTAGTTCTTTTATCTTTTATCACAATTTTTATCTATAGATCAAACTCTCCTCTCCTTCCTATTTAAACCATTTAAACATTTGTTCTTTTTTCTTTGATCACCATTTTTATTTATGGATCGCCCCCCCACCTCCCCTCTCCTTCCTATTTAAACCATTTAAACATCGTTATGAAAAACATCATAAAACAATAATAATATTTCGTGTTCAATGCTTTCTCCTGCTTTCTTTAGTAAATATTGACCCAGCTGTTTTATAGTTCCTCGAGGCTTGTTTTATGTTCAGTCTTACACTCTACACTTTAAACACATGCCTTATCCATGATTTTAACAGAAATCTGATGTCAGTCATGTAGACCGTAGATATTTCCATGAATTCTGCCACATCAAATAATTTAAGTTTGAAATACACCATCGTTGCAGAGAAAAAGGAATTCGAAAATTTTAGTAATTGCAAATTCTTGATTAATTTCTTTTTTACATTTTTAAAATCCTGAATAGAATTTTGTCTTTTGTGTTTTTTTAAAGTTACATATCTTGAAATTAAATTAAAACTTAGATACACAATCTTTGCCTTTTTCTTCTTGAGAATTTGAGCGTGTTAAAATCTTGTAACTCTGCGACATCAAATTGTAAAAAAAAATTTAAAAATTTTCAGACCAAATGTTGAAATGGACAAAAACATGATATTTGAAAGGAATGATAAATAGGGTAAACTAATAATGAAGCTATAACAAAACTATCGTGGATAAAAAAATCTAAATGAGTTTTCTTCGCCGCTTCCGGCCCAGCGTTTACTCATTGGAGACCCAGGCTGAGAACTCCTGGTGCCAACATGTTCTAGGCAGAGGTAACCAAGTTATAGGCAGAGGTAAACAATGTCTAGGCAGAGGTAAACAAGGTCTAGGCAGAGGTAAACATGTTCTAGGCAGAGGTAAACAAGGTCTAGGCAGAGGTTCTAGGCAGAGATAAACAAGATCTAAGTAGAGGTAAACAAGGTCTAGGCAGAGGTAAACATGTTCTAGGCAGAGATAAACAAGATCTAAGTAGAGGTAAACAAGGTCTAGGCAGAGGTTAACAATGTCTAGGCAGAGGTAAACATGTTCTAGGCAGAGGTAAACAAGTTCTAAGCAGAGGTAAACAAGGTCTAGGCAGAGGTAAACAAGGTCTAGGTAGAGGTATACAAGGTCTAGGTAGAGGTAAACAAGGTCTAGGTAGAGGTAAACAAGGTCTAGGTAGAGGTAAACAAGGTCTAGGCAGAGGTAAACAAGGTCTAAGCAGAGGTAAACAAGGTCTAGGCAGAGGTAAACAATGTCTAGGCAGAGGTAAACAAGGTCTTGGTAGAGATAAACAAGGTCTAGGCAGAGGTAAACAATGTCTTTGCAGAGGTAAACATGTTCTAGGCAGAGGTAAACAAGGTATAGGCAGAGGTAAACAAGGTCTAGGCAGAGGTAAACATGTTCTAGGCAGAGGTAAACAAGGTCTAGGCAGAGGTAAACAAGGTCTAGGCAGAGGTAAACAAGGTCTAGGTAGAGGTAAACAAGGTCTAGGCAGAGGTAAACAAGGTCTAGGCAGAGGTAAACAAGGTCTAGGCAGAGGTAAACATGTTCTAGGCAGAGATAAACATGTTCTAGACAGAGGCGAACAAGGACAAAAAGGTTCCACTCTCTACAGTGACAACGCATTAATTTTAAATATGTTTTTGCGCTGACATTAATTTCATTTCAATATCCTGGTTAATATTGGAATCAAAATTTTTAATTTGTAAGGTCAACAAACGGAGAAGTAATATTACTGATAAGCATAGAAGTCTTTGGGTTCCATCTTATTCTTATTTAGGAACTCATATTATTATAAAAATAAATATTTTTCCATATATTTATGTTGAAAATATTTTCCTTCTTGTAGTTCGTGAGTTGCAACTGCTTGAATACGAGCTAGATCTTTGTAAAGTTAGATTGGATCTTGACCTGTATCTCTTCTCAGTTCTACCAAACCATAGAGTAGAACTAATCTTCTCCAGGTATATATATATATATATTACAAGCTTGGGAACCATAGAGTAGAACTAATCTTCTCCAGGTATATATATATATATATTACTAACTTGGGAACCATAGAGTAGAACTAATCTTCTGCAGGTATATATATTACTAGCTTGGGAACCATAGAGTAGAACTAATCTTCTCCAGGTATTTATATATTACTAGCTTGGGAACCATAGAGTAGAACTAATCTTCTCCAGGTATATAAATATATTACTAGCTTGGGAACCATAGAGTAGAAACTAAGAGGGCCGGGAGAGGGGAACAGCTTTATCTTTAAGCTGTGACTTTCGATCACAATTTGACATTGATTTAACATTTTTTTTGTTTTACTTTTTTTAAATTGGTATTGTCAAGGAAAAATAAAAAGTGGGTTTAGGCTGAAACCTAAACACTTTAGAGTTGATCGAGACCTAAATGAGTTCTATTTGATGTTTCTGTCTCGGGAAATTAATATAAAACTGTGTCAACCTGAAACCTAAACACTTTAGGAGTTGATCGAGACCTAAATGAGTTCTATTTGATGTTTCTGTCTCGGGAAATTAATACAAAACTGTGTCAACGTTATACCAAAACTCACATGAAACATGACAGTTGAGAGACGACTTGAATATCGTCTTTGATCATAGATATCTGTCGAAATAAAACGAAATAACTCATATCTCCAATAATTTTGAAAGCACATTTTGAAATACAAAGGTAAGGACAATTTTATTATTATTGATTATACTTCTAAAATTAGTTTTTGAATGCGGCAAATTATTTTAAAGATCAAAGACGACCTTAAAGTCGTCTTTTAACTGTCATGAATCGTGGGGCACCCTGTATATGAGTTGTGGTATAGGAATCAAAGTTTGAAATAGATCACAATCAGCAAAACAGCTAAGGTACGCTCCCATTATAATTTAAATAAAAAACTTATTAATTTTTAATAGATATAATTAATAATGTAATTGTTGTCTGTATCACATGACAAGAAATTCCACCAATGGCCGTTCAGTATCTGGTAACAAGGCTCAGTCGACTAGATATGTATATATGAGTTTTGGTATAACTTTGACACAGTTTTATATCAATTTCTAGATGACAGGAACATCAGATAGAACTCATTTAGGTCGCGATCAACTCCCAAAGTATTTAGGTTTCAGCCTATACCCCCTTTAATATTTCCTTAACAGTCCCTTTAAAGGGTTCCGATACATTGTGAATCGTAGATTCAAAACAAGTCTTTAAATTTTAAATGGAAAGTTACTTAAAGTAATGTCAACGTTCCTTTTCAATAAAGGATACTGGGAACACTAAGCAGAGATACGGCAGAGAGAAGTGTTCCAACAGAATACCTGGATCCAGGAACACCTTAATTCATTTTACAAAACAAATGTCAAATTAAAAGCAGGAGTATACAAAATTATACTTAAACAGGATTACTCACAAAGGACGAATCAGTCTTTACTCTTCCTGCATTCTTGACTCGTTTTTTCTTTATCATATCATGAAGTTTATCCAGGGGAATGATAGTACTTCATTACTCTATATACTATAACCTCATTGAGTTTATCATATCATGAAGTTTATCCAGGGGAATGATAGTACTTCATTACTCTATATACTATAACCTCATTGAGTTTATCATATCATGAAGTTTATCCAGGGGAATGATAGTACATCATTACTCTATATACTATAACCTCATTGAGTTTATCATATCATGAAGTTTATCCAGGGGAATGATAGTACTTCATTACTCTATATACTATAACCTCATTGAATTTATCTCTTACAAAATTGCAAGCCATGCAGAAACCAAAATTCCAAAATTCCGATCGTTAAATTCCTAAGAATTTCAGGTTGTCAATAAAGTCTCATTATTACTGAGTAACCCTGCACTTATGAAACATTATCCAGACTAATCATATATTTGATTCATTTGTCTCTTTGAGCAGAAATAAGAACTGTTAAAAAATAGAAAGTTTCTAAAAAGTTTACAAGTTTAAACCTGGTGTTTTATTTTTACCCTAAATCTGCGAAAATCATCGTCTTGAAATATAAACCCTAAATTGAAATTTGGCGGCCTAGAATCTAGACCTAATGTCAGAGTTCTTTTTCTCTCACTTTTCTACAAAACAAGGTATTGAAATAATTACATAAAAAAATGTGCTTTTGAAACAGTTCTGGAAATTATACATAAATTATTGAGACCCACAAATTTGTGGCCGAATGTTGCGCCAAAATTTGAATATTTCACAATTATTGTGGCGCCCCGGCAAATTCTTTCATTGAATTGTTCAATTTTTAAAACATTTTATTTAACGTTTTCTTTCCGAACAATTGATTTTTTATCCCCGTAGTTTAGCGTGAGGTTAATGTGTAATCTATTTTAATAAAAAACCCTGTTTTCTATTTTGTCAGAGTACATAAGATCTAATTGTTTAGTTTATCAATGTATCTATTTTTTAGATTTGAAGGATTGGAGTTAACTTGCAGTTCTTCAAGTCCTTGCAGTGCTCATGTTCTTCAGTCTTTACATTCAATTATTACCTCTAGTCATACTCAGGTTATTTTTAATTAATAAATATAGAATTTATGAGAAATAAGTGACACTGAGATGCCCCCGGTTTGCAGGAGACACGTCAAACTACATAGAGTTAAAGGGAGTGACCGGCTACGTAATGTAGTTGAACTGAGTATGCAGTGGAGTTTTGAACGTCGAATTTGCGCTCAAACTCAGGATTTACAGATCTTTAAAAAGTTTAATATGTCTCAAATGAATCCGAAAGAAGTTTTCCACAACACTGCGTACTCAGTTCAGCTATTACGTACCCGGTCACTCCCTTTAATGAAACGTAATATTGAAATCTAAAATATTTTCAAGTACAACTCCTCTCATTGATGAGCTATCAACAACTGCATCCAAAATATCCAAAATTTTCCTCTTTTTTCAATTTTTCAATAATCTCTCATAGGCATAGATTAATTAAAATAACAGATAGGACACTAGATATAGTCTTTTCAAGATTTATGAGTGTTTCGTTTACAATAACCCAGAGGCACTGATCTACGCTGACTACGTGTAGCACCTTTGGGCTTCTGCCTCAGGGTTATTGTCAACGAAACATACAAAAATCTTGAAAAGACGACATCTAGTGTCTTATCTGTTGTTTTAATTAATCTATGCTTACAGGTGACAATTAATTTTTGTCAGAAAATATATTTTTGTTGTATTTCCTTGGATCCGAAAAATGATATCTTGTTAAACAAGGATTTTTATGTTTTCAGACTCCAGTAGTTACAGAACCTTGCCTTTCTAATCTCAGAGTAAAACTATTTTCCAATTCTTCCTTATCAATTGAGGAGTCTTATCATCTCAAGCAATTCATAAGAACCCTTTCAAATCTTCAGGTAGATCTTTAAACTTAAAGGGAGTGATCGCGAAAAATGCAATCGGGTTAAGACTGAATCCTGAAAAAGTCTGATTCGAACGCTATTAATTTAACTGTTTGATTAAAATAACGCGTCTTAGTGAGATTTTATAATGGGCTCTACGCTCTTTGGAATTAATCGTTTTCAATCATTTCTCCTTATAGACGCAACAGAGAAGTACAATTAGTAGCGATCAAACATTTTTTTAGGATTCAACCTAACCGCTTTAATTATTCGCGAACACTCCCTTTCAGAAACTGAAATTTAGGAAATTTGGTTTTGCCTGCATCAAGAGAACCTTGATCTAATTTGATATTGTTTAGAATTTGACTTTGTGGTATGCCGCGGATGATTCTCTATTGCATATTCTAGAGGAACAGTGACAATAGTTTATGAACCTTGAATGATGATTTACTTCAAAAATGTACAACCCTTACAGCTGTTCCTATGTTTCTGCTCTTTTCGAACAGTTTTATTCGATTCTATGATATTCTATTCTGTTTTATGACATTTACCTTATACCGTGAAAAATTTATTTAAAATTCAAGATAACTACCATACATTTTCTTATCTGATCCTCAAGGAGTTTTTCTATTTGCCTATTAAAATGATCAATAAAGTCTTCACATAGACCTTAAAGCTTTTAAAAATTCTGTTTTATTTGTTATGTGAGATTTTATTTTTAAAAGTGAAACTACTCATATTTTATGAAGTACTATTAAAGTATTTAAAGAGATTTCATCAAAGTTTTATTCCGCTTACCATATGCTATCGAAAATGTATTAAAAAATCCAGATATCTAACTTACTTATTGTTATCTGAACTTAAAGGAAACCTGCCCCAGAATCCTTTCCTTGGATCTTTGGAAATCCAGTCAAGTAACAGATGCTGGACTTTTATGCTTTCTTGGCTACCAACATACATCAGAAGACTGTTATAAAAACAAAAGTCAAGTTTTTGGTGAACACAAAACCAATGGCAGATTTATCCAGAAGCAGAATAAGATAAATTGTTGTAATCTACGCCGCGTACTATTAAAAGAAACCAGTGTATCTTCAGCAGGTCTTTTCTCTCTTATTGAGAACTGTTCTGAGCTGGAATATCTGGAGTACTCTAAAGGAATACTAGAGGATGAACTACTACAACTACTCAGTGAGAACTATGCTAGGAAGAAAGCAGTTTATTCTCTTCGAAGTATCTTTATCAATGTGAACAGTATGCCTGCACTATTTAATATTGTAAAATCACTGCCATGCCTAACTAAACTTAGTATTTGGAGCTCGCTCAAAGCCCCGCCAGGATCCTGGCTCCAATCAGATTTTCAGTTCCTAAGCTCCCTTCAACTTGGAGGAATTCAGAACTCTTTTTTCCTTAAGCAGCTCCTCAACCTGGTTGGAAACAAACTGATCTCTCTTGAACTTAATTCTCTTCATTTTCCAGTTAATATTTGTGAAATTGGGGCTGTGTGTTTAAATCTGCAAGAACTAAGACTGTTTAGCTTAAAGGTTTTCTGTACAACGAAAAAGAAACACGTTGATGAGAATCAAACAGAAAATAATTCAGTTGACAAACCTTTAAATATACAGAATACAATAAGAACAATTAAAAACCTTGAAACTTTTAAAAGTTTAGTTAAAGAAGAAACAAATTTTGCCACAATACTTGAGAAAAGCTTAAATTGTGAAGAATTGGTGAGAGCAAATCCATCCTTAAATAAAGAACAGCAGAGCTGTGATGAGGATTCTCTAAAAACTGTTAATTTTGACAAAATCCGCTCACTCCAGTTCTTTCTGCTAGAACATCAGGTTAGCAAGTTAAAGCAGTTCAAAGGACAAAAAATGATATCTTTTGAATGAGATCTTTACAATCAGCGGTTATCAAGTATGTTAATAAGCAATTTTTCCACACACTCTTCTTAATGTTTCAGGAAAAAATGTATTCATTCTTATTTCGTTTTCCCTAGTATTTGAGATCATTTTTCAAAATATATAGTCTTAGACATACTATAGTTTCAGTAGAAGCAAATATTTCCATTTACTGTTTAGTCCAGATATAAGGATTCATATCTCAAATTGGATAATGAGCTAGATAGAAAGATATATGTTACCGGCAAACTATTTCCATTGGTTCAGAATATACACCAAACACATGACTGAACCCTGATTGGATCAGGCGCTAATGGAAGCGCATACAAGGGTGGGCAACGTTCAAGCAATTTAAAGTGTAGATATTTAATGTTGTTTTAGCGAAAATATTTTTATCCGTAGATTGAAAATTCATTAAGTGAAATGGGGTTGTGTACACTGTACACTGCAAAAATACTGTGCTTCATGTTTAATTCTGCACTATTTAAGATTAAAACGTGAGTCTAACAGTCGTGTTCCTATTCCAGAGTTTTCATGGTCTCTCTCTGTATAATCCATGAACCATGCTATAACATTGTATTTTTATTCAGGGGGAAGAAAATGTTCTGGAATACATTCTTAGTCGAGCAACTTCTTTACAGAATATACAGGTTAAATTCATTCTTAGTCGTGCACCTTCTCTACAGAATATACAGGTTAAATACATGTCAAAAGAAATTATTAAAAAAGAATGAAGCAGGTTTAATTGAAATCTACAAATTTCAAATCATTCGATAACTAAAAATATTTATGTAAAAATATATGAAATTTATTAAAAATGAAAAACTCAACATTTTAAAATAAAAGATATTTCACGTCAAATGTAAATGAAAAATATTTTCTAACAAACTAAAACAATTCATTATTCAATAATTTTCAGCTATCAAACTCTGAAATATTTTGTTAACTTAAAAAAATTAGTTGGTTGAAGTAAATCATTATTATTATCATTTTAATTTTAAAGGTGACTGGGAAAGACTCACTAAATCACGACATACTCCACAACATCTTAAAGTTAAACCCGCTCAAAAAACTGAGGTAATATAATTTTTTTATTTTCTTAATGATCATGCGTATAACACAAATCAAAGAGTTTCCAAATAAACGATAAAAATAATTTGACACAAGGCATTACGCAACTTCCAATTTCCTCACTGAATCGATTAAAACTTTGGAATTGAATTTTTTCAATTAATATTTTTTCCAGAAGATTTGTCCTGTCTGTTCCTACACATGAGAACTCTCCTCTTGAACTCTCTACCGAGTCATTAAACCTTCTTCAACAATCCTGTCCTCAACTTCAGTGTATTGGAGATCTAAGGAATTCACAGAACATTTTAAATCTTAAATTCTCGGGTACATATTTGCTCTTCAAAAATCATTATTCCAAAGCAAATTAATAATGTTTGCGCGGAATAAATGTTTTTCTTTGCTGAACTGTTGAAAGGAAATGGTTTTAAGGAAAAAATAAATGAAAAAATAATATTGAGATATGGAGGGAAACTTGCTAGTGAATCACGCACCTCTGACCCTTTAAAGTAAATTCAACCTAAAGTCTGACCGCGTCAACCTAGTTGCACCGGCTAGTCCTATTGAGTATCTGCTTTATTCAACCAATGTCCGGGCGATACAGTACAAACTGGGACAGGAAAGGTTGACCCGGCTTGGAAATTCAAATGTACTACGGCTGCCCGTATAATGTGCAATTTTTCAATTATCCCCTCCCCCCTAAACCTTTGAAGCAGTTAAAAGAAATTGATAAGTTGGTTTTAGATATTTTCCTTGTGTATTCTTTAAACTAATAATCTCATTACGAGATTGTGAATCATCAATCGCACTCTTGAAACAAAGGGCCCAAACTAAAAATTCTTTGACCCTCAATTCCGACTTGAAGGCACTTACTGTAAAAATCAAGTGTGGACACTGGACAACACTAATTTTTACAATATAGTAAAGTTAAATCCGGAACTTCGGATACATCAAATGAATTTATAAAATGTCGTTTTCTAAACTTACTGATAATAAAATGCCGCAGATATTTAGTTTTTTTTATTAATTAATTATATGGAGCTCTTTAAAACTGTTCCAACTATTTTACAAAAAAAACTATAATTCCTCATGCCGGAAAAAAACTCTCCTTGTTGAAATGTTTTCAAAACGACACTAAATTAATTTTTTTGATGGCTCTGAAGTTCTGAGCTAAACTGTATTTAAAACAAATCTTCATGGAAAAGCGTTTTAGAAATGATTTTTTAGAATTTACTTAGGATTCTTTATATTCCAAAATAGAACGGCAAAGGGGACAAAGATGATATAATTTTACATTTCCCTGAATATCAATCAGTTTCCTAAATCATCACGTCAAATTGTCAGAGTTTGGTTTAGAGTAAAATGGCAAAAATAATAAGAAAAATAATAGTATCTGTTGAATTATCAGACACTGGAAAGTGAGTAGATCTGAAAAAGTCAAATTCTCTCTTCAACATCACTTGGTTTAAATCCTTATTAAATGAATTTGATAAAAAATGTTTTATTTTTTACATAAACAAAAATTACTGAACAAAATTCCAGTAAAAAAAAAATTACAACACAAAATCAAATTCAAAATTTACAAAGATGAAAAATAATGAATGAAAAAAAAATATCTTATTCATCTAGTTGAGGAAAATTGAGTTATTAAATTAGACAAAAAAATATAAAAAAATGTCATGTCAGTTTTTACACTCCATTAATTTGCCAAATCACTGGAGTGTGATGGGAAGATCACAGCCTGTATATCCTCCTAGTCCAACAATATGCTGTAGAAGCTCAAACCAGTTCATATCCTAAACCATTGATCATCATATTATTTATATATTTATCATACAGTGCTCGGCGATCACATCAATACAATGAAGACTTTTTATTAATAATGCTTTGATCCAAAGATTGAAACTCTTCATAGACAACTTTAGAAACATGAAAATGTGCCTCTGCTCGTAAATTTTGGAAATATTTTTAATAATTCTTTTTACAAACTTTGTTGTCTTTCAATAGTGTTAATTTACAAATTAATTTCCATAATAATTGAGACGAAAATGTCGGAGTCAAACGGCCACATCACTCAGTGTACATTAATATCTTGGACAAGTGACCACAAAAATAAATAAATACTTTTGATTTAATCAAACTTTTTAAAAATTATTTTTAATTGAATTTTATTCATTAATTTAATATCAACCGAAGTAAAAAGTGTCAACTTGTTTAACAAAATGTGTACATTCCTTTAAAAATTTGATTGATGTGAAAAATATCATAATAAATACGAAGGTTCATGTAAATCTTTGCTATTTTTCAGTAGACAATTATTAAGAAAAAGGTTTTTTTAATGAAGTAAAAATGAAATATCCATGTTTATTATTCTGAAAACTGAGTATTGCCAATTGTGGTTTCTCTACAAAAGTAATTGCGCAGGAAATTAAGATATAGGAATTATCAGAATTATAAATACTATTTAACCTAGGGAAACGACAATAGATTCTATATTAATGTTCGGATAAAGATTTCAAGAGTACCATTGTTAATCGGACATTGCCATCTTTGCATGGAGGGTCATTTAAAATTACGCTTATTCAGTCCCTTTAAATGTGAAACACTTTACCTTGGACAGAACATGCGGATTTCCAATAACAATTAGTAAGGACTGAGCTCTGGTTACTGCAACATTAAGTCTCTGAACCCAAATCGTTTTAAAAAAAATATTATTTCTGCCAGCTTGCAGGGTGACCCAAAAAGAATGAACCTCCAACGATAACTGACGGAGGACGACTTAAAGGTCGTCTTTTATCTTAGAAATAATTTGTGGTAACAGTATATCAACCTACTTTTACATGTATAATTCTTGAAACAATAATAACAAAATCAAAAATTTCGTGTTGAATTCAATTTATCGAATAAAACCAAAATTGTCAAATTCTGAAAAATTATTTTTCGTATCTCCGGTAATATTAAAAGCACAATAAAAGCAGAACACATTTTTGAAATGCCAGGACTAGAGGTATTTTGTGATTATTAACTCTAGATTTATACTTTAAAATGTATTCCATGAGTGCAGTGCTCCAATTTAAAGATCAAAGACGACCTTGTCTTCTTGCTCCTGTCAAGTCTCGTGGGACACTCTGTATAATCAGTATTTTCACTAGTATTGATAGTTGCCTACAGCTTCTTTATTTATTAGCTTGTCGCATTACAAATCCATATTCAAGGCTATATTTATATATATATAAAGTCGTCATTAAAGTATTCTTTATCCTTAACCTGTGCTACGGATCTGTTTAATTTTGAGATGAATCCGGATTCGCTCTGAAACAAAAAATGGATCCTGATCTGGGTCATGACATTAACAAAAGAACTTTCAAATTATTTCCCCTTTTTTCGAATGAATCGGAGATACGGAAATTTTAATAATTTCTTTTTTTAACAGTTTAGATTTAGATTTACGAGCACAATTTTTTTTTACAGTTTTGGGTTTATATTTTTCCCCTTGAATCCGGATCCGTTGATTCACATATTTTGCGGATCCTACACGCTGTTGTAACCCTGTACTTTCAATTGTAAACTTAAAGCAAATACATTTTAAAATGAATTAAAATTAAAAAAAGATTCCTTGGGACTGGCCAGGAACCCTATTCCTTGCTTGTTGTCTGACACCTAAATAAAAATAATTGTAAGTAAAAATCTACCCTGTCAGAAGCACCACTAATTTTATTGAATACAAAATAACAAAGTTTTTCTACAGTGGTAGTCTGCAATTATATCAATACAATAAAGACGACTTTTTTATTGTTTTAATTGTGAACAAGCTTTTAAAGAATAATATTTAAAGAGAAACTTTTTTATTAAAAATATTATGTTTTTATGTTTGTGTAATGTATATCTGTGCTGTTTAAAAGCTTGATATTGATCAAAAATTGAAATCATAAGTCGTCTTAATTGGATTGATATATGCAACGATAATTGTATGTTTTACAATCAAATTTGAAACAAATTTGTCAAGTGGTTCCTGAGTCATGATCGGACATACAAACAGACAAATAGAGATCACTACTTGATAAAATGATATAAAATGGGGTTAATTTTTATTTTTATTATTTATTTCAGTCACAATTATTTCATAAAATACACAATTATTGTGCACTGTGTGCATTTAACAACATGTACAGTTTACCTACATGTAAATAAATAATATATAAATTATTAATAACTAGATGAAAAGATAGAATAATGATTAAAAGTCCAGTTTAACAAATTTTGCTTTGAAGAAAAATGATTTTCCCAGTTATTTTATCTAAATATTTTTATATAAAAAAAGGGTGGTGGGTAACCCTGCATATCCGGCTCTGCCTACAATGTACAATTTTATAAATTTGTGGATTGTGAGGATTTGTTTGTACATTGTACACTGTACAAAATTAATTGTTTTGAGGTGGGAACTCTGTTGTTGTGGATATCGAGATCAGTGCTTTATCTCGATCCTTTGTTAATCTGCAGATTAATATATTCTATATTAGATAAACCGCATGGTAATCGTACCCAATCAGAAGAAAAAAAGAGCTAGCATCAACCCTCAAAATAAAAGTGTTCATATTGGATAATGAGATCAAACAATTGAGATGATTATCCAACACAGAAGTTATCAGCTCTGATTTTTTTTTACTTCAGTGTTAATTATTGCTCTTCATTTTTGCAACTCCTATTTCCTGAGATTCTTGACAACCCATTCCATCCCGTCTCGGACACCCTCCCCAGTAGTTGCAGAGCAGGCCTGTATCTGCCAAGATCTATCCTTTATTGTATGCAATGAAAGACCTTCTGCAATCTGACTGGCCGTGGCAGATCCTACTAAATCCTGTTTGTTTGCGTAGACCATAATAGGAACATTGACTAGTTTCTCCTCAAACAGAAGTTCCTGTAATTCCTGTCCTGTTTCCTCGAATCTCTTCTGATCTGCTGAATCTATGACGTAGATCAGAACATCGGTATTGTCAAAGTAGTTTCTCCAGTAGGGTCTAATCTTCCTTTGTCCACCAATATCCCAGACGTTGAGCTTGAACCCCTCGGTTTGAACAGATTTAATGTTGAACCCTTGGGTCGGAGTAATAGTGGAGATATCTTCACTCGCCAGGGTTTTCAGAATCGTTGTTTTTCCCGCATTATCTAATCCTAGCAGTAGGATTCGAAGTTCTCTATCAGGAGAACTCTTCAGCTTTCTCAGAATTGATAGAAGTCCCATTTTTCTTTAAACTTTGCTTCTCACTCCGTCAGTTTTTATAAATCTTGAAGTATGAAGGCAAGGGACCGGAGTAGGATTGATTAAAATGCAGGGAAAGTACCAGTATCCAGGTAGGACATAAACCATGCTTTCTCGTCCTACTACTCCACAGACCGGAGCTAAACCCAACCCTGCCGTCCGGGAAAAGGGAGGGGGTTTAATATTCTAATCAATAGACACTTTCTACAATTCACAATTATGATTATCAATATTGTATATTCATACGAATTTAAGGAAAGAATTTACTTGTGCAGCGTAATTATTTGCGTGAAATATATATCAATGGATTTTAGCAAAATCAGACTTTTTTTACTTAAAAAGGCGAAGTAGATGAAATAAGAGGAAACCATAAATGCTTTAAAATCCTTTTTCTGGGTTATAATCGGACATACAAACAAACAAACAAACAAACAAATAAACAAACACCATAACATACAAACAGACAAATAACCAGATTAAAGGAGATTACTACAGAACCAGGAAACGACATTAATGCATAATTAAGTGTATTTTATGTTGCTAAACAGCAAATATTTTTTTTCTAACTTTATTGGACTATTTAAATACATTACTTGAATCTAAAAGTCGCATTCCTATTCCAGAGTTTTCTGGTTCTGAATGCACTCATTATGAATATAGATATTTTCCTTGTATTTTCCGAACGCTGTGTTTAAAATATCCCATGATAAATCAATAATCAAAATTTGTTTTTTGAGACAAACATACTTCATAATGATATTTATTTATTTATTGATTTAAATCTAACTAAACCTGATGTTCAGTTCCACTCCGTGTGGTGGTAAGAAGTATGACGGGCTTCTCTTGACCTGAAAAAAATCAATTGAAAACATCATCTTTGAGGTTGAAAATACATCAAAATATCATTGTCTTGATGATGAGTCATTACACAATACACATGACATGACACATGTACCATGCATGAACAATAACACTCATACACCCCTTACACACAGAAAGAATACATGTAAATTTGGGAGGGTCGATTTCATAACCAAGTTTAGGGCTCTGCAACTATACATTCAAAGAATTTGACAAAAGAATTATCAATTTTTTTTTAAAAATTGCATGCTGAGAAATGTTAAGAAATATTATTTACTTAGTATGGACAGAAAATAAATTCTTAAAACAGATTTGGGTATCAAAAATCGCTGAATACTGTGCACACTTTTCTTTTTTATATTTAATAAATTGTTTGATGTATGGCCGAATACAAGGTTTTGTTGGGCTCTGTACCAAATCATTACAAATTTTATTTTTTATTTGTAAACTATATGTTAACATTCCTAAATTCAGTATAAAAAAATGAAAGATATGTTTTGAACATTTTAGCTCTTAATTCTGTCTGTTTGATTTTTTTTCTTCTTAAAAAGCTCTCAGCTCGCCAGTTTTTTAAATTTTATTTTGATGATTTGTTTCGGAAGGTACTTTTAAGCTATAAGAGTGGGTGGGGGGAGTAAAAAATCGACCCATCCATTCAAGATAATTACCATCATGCGCTTGATACTATAGTCGTCGTCGTATATGTCAGTACAATCAAGACGACTTTATATAGTCGTCGTCGTATATGTCAGTACAATGAAGACGACTTCATCTTTTATTTTGATTTCTACAAAGCTTTCAAACTTGATATAAACGCCAACTACTGAACTTTTCGGTTTTACGAATATTAGATTTTACAAACCTTGGAACTCTTCAACGCTTCCAATTCTGATCCCGTCTATGTTAAACACTTTCAGCATCTCTCTATATCAATATCAAACAAAATCTAGGGGTCTCCGATGATAAACTGGGGGTCTCCAATGAAAATCAGGGGTCTCTGATGAGATGCAGTGAGGGTTCCAATAGTTTTCAATGATAGAGATTTCTTCCCTGACGCGAAATTTAGAAACTGACAATTTTGAAGTCATCTCATTTTTATTGACAACAAAGTTTTCTCTTTTCTAGAAATATTAGAAAAAATTGACCAATTTGTTGTTGTTTGAAGTTTTCCTTATTTTCTGAGTTTGCTTCCTGTATGGAGATATTATACCAATATCATCCTTCTCCACTCCTTCTATAAGCAGATTTTGAGTGTAAACTGCAACCTGCCACACCTCCTAAATATAATTAAATATAACTTCAAACTAATGTTTAACTTCTTCTATAAGGAGAGTTTGAGTGTAAACTGCAACCTGCCACACCTCCTAAATATATTTAAATATAACTTCAAACTAATTTTCCACAAATTCTAGAAGAACCTGACAAACTTATTGTTTCTATTTAAAACATAGTTTTTAACTACATCTCATGATCTGAACTCCTGCTAGGAATTTTTTGGTATAAACTGCAACATGCAAAACTTATTGTATATATAATTATATAAAAGCTACTCTACTCTACTCCTGCTGAGTGTAAACTGCAACCTGCCAAACTTCCAATACATATTTTACTAGCTGAAGGGCGCGGCGTTGCCAGTTGAATTTTTTTTTGCAAACTGCAAACCACCAAACTTCCATTATATATTTAAATAAAAGCTTGAACCCTACTTTACTTCTGCTTATAAAGCTTCTGGATGTAAACTGCAACCTGCCAAAGTACCATTATATATTTGAATAAAAGCTTTAACCCTTCTCTCGCACTACTGATAGGAGAAGATTCTGGGTGTAAACGCTTCTCATTGGCAAAATCTCAAACGTCGAGTTTTAGGAAATAAGGTGAAACAGATTTAAAAGAATTTGAGAATCTTTAAGGGCTTAGAAACAGTTAAAATCATATCAGGGGGAGGGATACTATCAAGTCCTAAGAACATATCTTTGTTTTGCAATTTGTTCTTTAGACTTTACCTGTGGATTAAACCAAGATGGAGAATCAGGTTCTTGTCTATTGTCTCCTTTCACTCCATGGAATATGACCGGATGTCCTCAAAATAGAGCCATAAATATCAGGCTGAAAGGGACTGTAAGCGTAATTTCAAGTGACCCACCATGTAAAGATGACAATGCCCGATTCACAAGGATAACCGTAAAAGGTCTGATCAAGTATGAACTAGATATCAATGTTTATGTTTTTGAAAATTAATTCTTTTCATTTGTGGATTTTCTACGAAAGTGACTTCCGCATTACTACTGCAGGAAAGGGTTTATGAGTTTTGAAATCTAAAATCTTTTAAAACAAGAAAAACGACAAAATCTTTCATTTTATTGGTTTCAATGGTACCATTTTAAATCGGGCATTGCCATTTTGAATGGCGCTCTTTAAATAATTACTAATTTTTTGAGTAAAATTTTTGATCTTGTATAAAATGGCAAATATTCCATTGCAAAGATTTTTATATAAATATATATTCAGGGTGGCCAAAACTTTTTNTTAAGTTCATAAAATTCTATACCCACTCAATTAAGTTCATAAAATTCTATACCCACTCAATTAAGTTCATAAAAAAGTTTTAAAAAGGACAATCCTCTAAAAACAATATTTGAAGGGTACTCTTTAATATTACTAAGCCATATATCAAATTATGGGTTAAATCCCTTTAAATATTAAAGAGACTTCCCTCCAATTATAACTTTAATCCCACCTTTACTTGGCAGAAAATTGAAGTTAATAAACTTGTTGATCTTGGTTTCAGCCCCACAAGGAATCAACTCATTTTCATAAAAAAGTCTGGAGGGAACCAAGAGGATATCAGGATGAGACCTAAATTACAAAACAGTAACGTGACAAAGAAAAATTCTTTTAGGTTTACTAATATGTATAAATATCTATTTATCCTGGAGGGGGAGGTGCAGAAGAATTAACAAACATTTTAATTAAAGTCTAATTTAGGCTTTAGCGCAAAAACTTAAAAATTGTTTAAATTTTAATTACAAAAGTTACAAAATTACATTATAAATAATTTCTCCATTAACCTGTAGTTTCTGACGAGTTTAGTGACTAGAAGAGGATCATATCCACCGTGGTCTCGGAACCTCTCTCTGTCTGGTAGATAAACTGGCAGCAAACTAGAAACAGAAATGTAAATGTGTTCCTGTTGTTCCTAGTGTTTACACAATTTCATCACAACTTTAGACATCAAAACAAAATATTTCGACACTTGTCTATATTTTTTAATCAATTTGATTCGGCATTCGCATTAAAAATTATTTATATGTTTTTTTTTCAAAGAAATAATGATTGTTTGATTATTTGAGAAAGACGACATTTGTAAGAAAAAACTTTTTTTGCGTTTACCATAGATTAATTAAAATAACAGATAGGACAGTAGATGCAGCCTTTTCAAGATTTAGAAATATTTCGTTTATAAAAACCCTGAGGCAGAAGTCCTAAGTAGTAATGCATAGTTGGCGTAGAACAGGATCTCTTTAGAACTACAAGATGGTTGCTACTATTTATTCAGGGGTAAAGATTTAAGGGGTCGAATTTTCAAAGATTTCGGGGTTAAATAAAAAAGGAGAATTATTACCAAAAAAAAAAACCATTTAAAGAGTCTGTTTCAGAACGACACCCTTAAAAGCTTTGTCTGATCAAGAATGAATAAGATATCCATCATTTCTCTTTAAAATATTGGTTAATTTGAATTGTGGTTTATCTAATAGTTACTTGCGGATTTCAGCCGAAGAAACAAGGAAGGAAATTGTGAGAATTAAGTAATTTTCAAGATAGAAAAGGACTCTATCTTCCATCAGATAAAGGTTTAAAGGTAATCGATGTGAATCTGGTTAAAGGGTAACATGAGATCACAACGACGGTCCTCCCTTTATTATCATCATTTTACCGAAATTATTCTTAATACACTGAACTTATTCGATTAATTCCTACCTTAACCTTTCCAGCAGGGATAGTTCTAGTCCATAAAGAGCTGCAATAGGAGATTGTATAACAGGCCCAAGCTGCTGGGGATCACCAGCTAGCACAATCTGACCTGTCTCACGATGAACCAAACCTATTATATTGATAAGGTTTAGATGCAGATAGACAGTTATTATTGTCTATAGATGACATAATATGCTTCTGGTACCACTGACAAGAACAATCTAAACCGTCTCACGATAAACGATGATTAAGTTTTTTGATTATTATTGTCTAGATGACATAATATGCTACCACTGATCCGTCTTATGATAAAATTAATTAAGTTTAGATGCAATAGACAGTTATTATTATCTAGATGGCATAAAACACTACTGAGGAACACTGGTCCGAACAATCTGACCCGTCTCACAATAAATCATATATATATATATAGAATGCATATATGATCAAGCCTTTGTCATTTGATGATAGTATATGTAAAAATAATATAACCTTATCAAAATTATTCTCTACTTTTAAACCCATTGTAGGTTCTTTATTCTTCAATTTAAATGTTTGCATTAATCACTTAATAAGAGTGATTCGCTCTCCGTAATTGATCATCAAAACCTGATTGGCGGATTTGTATGTGTAAAAAAAGCTTGGAGGTATATAAGACAATAATTTCGCGCATTAGTTCATATTATTTTTTTAACTATTTCAAATGAAAATATGCACTAAATTATTCGGTGACTGTACGGGCATAAAAATTAAGTAGTTGCCCTAAAAACTAAAATTTACTTGGATTATTTTTACATATTTTTCGGAAAACATTACCCAATGGAACTAGACATTCAGGTTCTGTCATGTGACCAGCTTCGTCAACAAATACATGAGAGTAGTGACCGTGCTTTAGTTTCAGCTTGTAAATACTTCCGACAGTGCCACATGTACTGAGGATATCACATCCATTTGAACATAAGAAAAACATGTCGGAAATAAGTAAAGGTACAATTGCAAGTACTACCAAGTCAAGGGATTGTGAACTACTTAATAACCTAGGCTAAATCTGATAAAAGAGCGTTGGTAAGTTTAAGTGACCCTCCATAAAAAGATGGCCATGCCCGATTTACAACTATATCTTTAAAACCTTTCTCTCATCAGTAATGTGGAACAAATTTCTAGGTCTGGTAGTGGTAATTCATATATGAATTACTAAATCGGACATGAAGGATCATTTAAATTGACGCTAACTTCATCAAACCAAACCATAAAAAACATTAAATTAATACAAATATTTTGGTTTTTAAATATTCGTTGTGTCTGTGTATCCCTGACGAGTATTTTGTGCTTTGAGGATTGTAACAAGCTCTCATCTTCATCATTCTTCAAGCAGTAAGGCAAAAGTAATTCAGGGATAGAATCCTGAAAAGAAAACTAAAGTGAAAATTAATATTTTAACCATTTTATTTTAGTTGAGAATTGGACTTTTCCCGGGATTTTTTTTTGGAGACACCAGCACAAAAGTCAGTTTCAGTCACTTCTAAATTTCCCTTCTGCCCCCCCTTGAAGCTTAAAAAAATCAAAAATAATTTTTTTTAGAACCATCAAAGTTTCTAATTTGAATTTTTATTTGACAATTAAATCTTTTATACAATATTGTTATCCTAAAAATTCATTCTACAAGGTTTGAGAAAAATGTAAAAAAGCATTTCCATAAAAACAAACCTGAGATCGTTGAAATGAGTTTAACCTTGCCAGATCTCCAACCTGGACTTTGCCAGACCTTTAAAAATAAGTCTTACAATTTATTTATTTGTTTTTTTTGTTCAGAATATGCAAAATAATACAAACGGCATCTATCAATTTAGAAAAACCAAAATCCTGACTAATTTTCTAAATGTTTATTTAAGAAGAATGCGTGTAAAACAATTACCCCATACAATTAAATTTCAAGCAACACAAGTTAATCAATAATCATTAATCACCAGCAGAGAATATCAAAATCTAGAACTCTGAAAAAGCAAAAATTAGGTTTCCCAAGTTCCAGGCGATTATAGTAATGAATTATTTGCAAATAAATGAACTAGGTATAAAGCTACAAATAAAATAAGAATAAAGTATGAACAGTTGTCTGTGAAAACTCTGAGTTTACCTGATAATGCGTTCAGCAACTAGATCAGCTGCACTGTTAGATGGTGTTGCTACCAGTATCCTAACATCTGACCGCATAGTGAACAGCTGAAGGTCAGCATATATATTTACATGAGAAAACTCACATTGAGCTCAGAATTTTACTAAACTTTAATGTGACAAATCATTAAAAATATATTCATTGACTTATTTAAGAGACAGCTTTTATTTGCACAACCTTGCATTTGAATCGAGACAAAAGAACTGTGTTAGTGTAAAAAACTCGAAGTTTTTTCCAATTAGTATTTCTTTGATATTTAATACTTATATTATTTGATCTAACAAGGTTTATTGTTTGAAATATCTAAGGCCTAATCTAAACTTTCCTTACATTTTTTTAGGAGACAATAAAAGATTATGTTTAAAATATATGCCGAAGCAAAACAATACCTGTAGGACAGCCTCGACCAGAGTAACTGTTTTCCCAGTGCCTGGAGGTCCATAGATAATATAGGGAAGAGGTCTACCCTCTCCAGTTAGTATCCTTAATACAGCGCTACGCTGCTCCGGGTTTAAACTTGGGTTGATCCAACTCAGTTTCAAAATCCCTGGTTCTAGAAAGTAGAGAAGATGAGATGACTATTTACAATTTTGCAAATATTCTTGCTTTTAAAACTTAGATTCATATCTAAAAAAGTTAAAATTCTTATATTTGGCTGAAAGGCAAAGTACACCAGCCTTTTCTTTAGAGCGAATTACTTGGGAAGATACATTAGACTAAAGTAAAAGTAAAAGTATAAAAACAATATGTTGGTGTTCCCTCAAATTCTTTGCGCATTAACATTTAACAATTGATATTAACAGTTTGTCCCAAAATCTAGTTTTAGTTTCGCATCTATGTTCAATGTTGTCTTAATAATAATCATGATAATGTTAGCTTTGCAGTTAACTTTTAAAATTCCTGAGAAGTGGAGGATAAGTAATTATCCTCCCTGGAAATAAAAAAGTAGGGAATTTAAGGTTGGTTATTTCGTTGAACAGGAGATTAAATTAATTTAACATCTCGTGAAAATCCGCGAAACATCTGTGAAAAATTCTCAAACCATTCATACTGATGATTGCATAAAAGCATGAAACAATTTGTTTATGAATAAAATGTTATAAGAAGATTGTTGCGTATATATATATATATGTAATTGTATATCTATATGTATAAATATAAAGATCTTAGCGTAAATAATAAGAGTTTAACTTTCAGTTATACTCTTCGTATTGTTTTCTAAACATTACGTAGCTATAGTCTTTAATCAGACAATCTTATGGAATAGTTTGCGTATAAGCATAATCAAGGATAGATACTCTTATAGTTGGACATTATAGTTAACCTAAACATTCAGATTTACATCACTCTAAAAATTAGACATTTTTTTATTATAAAAAATATATTTAAGCTTCATTTCTAGATACAAATCAATAAATGTGGTAATGAACAGATTTACTAATTAGCATGATGCAAGGCCCTCAACTTATTCTGAGTTGGTTGAGCTCTCTAGTCCTTATTTCATTACCCAATGATCAGGGTTTGAGGAGCAGTAGTTAGCGTGTTTATTAATATTAAAAAACTAAAATAGGATTCATGGTTCAAGCCCCGCCAACTGCAAAATCAAAAACTGATGAATTGAACCATACATATTATATATATACCTGAACCCTGTTTAGGATAGTATGCAGGGATACTGGAGGATACTCTATTGTATTTAAACTGGAATGGAAGTGACGGGATGAAAGTAAAAGAGTCATCTATCTTCTCAGTTCTGGATTAGAATAATAAAATTACATATATGTATGCAAATTGCTCTATGTAATAAACAATGAACATGTATAAGTCACACTCACAATCAATATAACAATCGTTCACAAACTACACCGAAAATATGTTTTTCAAAAATTGATTCAGTCTTAAGCATTTCTATCCGTTTTTTTCTTAGGCTATGGTAGGATAAAAATAGTGACATAACATAAGTATGTTACCTGATTTTGTTAACATTCGGGATGACCCAAATCTTTGAGTGATCAGAACCCTTTTTCTTAGATTGTTCATAACTTTCTTTCTCTTCTTTTTTATATGTGCTACTCTTCTTCTTTTCCCCTGCTGTTCTCTTCACTTTCTCTACTTTCTTAGTCGCTTTTGTACTCATAACTTCTTTCTTCTCAAATTTACTTTCTTCTGTTTTAAAATCTTCTTTCTTCCCCACCTTTTCTTCTTTCTCAGTTTTAACTGCAGTGTCCTCTTTCTTCTTTACTTTCTCTTCACCCTCTGTATCTTCTGTAGTGATATCATCTTTCTTCTCTACTACTTTCTTGTTTCCCTCTGTTTGTTCTCCAGTGAAACCTTCTTTCTTCTCTACCTTCTCTTCACCTTCTGTTTCTTCTGTACTCAAATTATCTTTCTTCTCAACCTTCTCTTTTTCTTCTGCTGATTTTGCAGTGATATCTCCTTTCTTGCCTTTCTCATTCCCTTTGTTGTCCTTGTCTTCTTCCTTCAGATTTATTTCTGTCTCCTCCTCTCCCTCCATTAGGACAGAAAGGTCTTGCTTCTCCTCTCCCTCCACTAGAACAGGAAGGTATTGCTTCTTCTCTCCCTCCACTAGAACAGGAAGGTATTGCTTCTCCTCTCCCTCAACTAGAACAGGAAGGTCTTGCTTCTCCTCTCCCTCCACTAGAACAGGCAGATCTTGCTTCACCTTTTCCTCCACTCGTAAAGGCAGGTCTTGCTTCTCCTCTCCCTCTACTAGGAAAGGGAGGTCTTGTTTCTTCTCTCCCTCCACTAGAATAGGCAGGTCTTGCTTCTCCTCTCCCTCTACTAGGACAGGCATGTCTTGCTTCTGCTTGCGTAGGATATTTAGCTTTTGTAAGAACCTTGCCTTAGAGCTTAGAACTTTTATCTCTGAACTCTTACCTAGATCAAAATATATTAAAACAAGAGCCAACGTTTTCAAATGATAAAACTGAGGTAAAGGAGTAGAAATCTCTATATCTTTTCAACCCTAAGTCGGAGACCTTAGATTTTTCAAACTATAAATTCTATTATATTAAATTATCTAAGTATTAAGGTTCATTTAGCAAAAATGAAAGGATTAGAAAATTTGAGTTTGTGGCAAAGACGCTGTTTTTTTAACTTACAAAAACTTACGAATTAAATTAAAAAGAATTTGTAATTGAAATGGAGATTTTTACTATTTGAAAACGTTTTAGAGCATTTCTGATATANTGTCTTACTTGACACGGGTTATTTAAGTCATGTTTTTAAATTATTAACTTCGCTACGGATTTTGTGCTGTCTTTTGACTCTAAAAATATACTTTCGGAGTAAATTTATCATGCCCAATACAAATTAGATAATCTTTACTTATTCTTTAGCTGCATTTCTAATAAAAAGCTAGTTGAAAGCAAAGATGACTTTCATCCACCTTAAACCGAATTTGACTTTGAAAACTTGTACCTTTAACTTGACTACTACTACGAATGGAAGATTCGGAACTGCTGGTGTTTTCAACAATAAACTCAACCTGACAAATATATTTTTAGGAAAAAAGTAAATAACGTTTAATTGTTCCCTTGAAGGTGAAGGGTGCGCAGTGAAAACTTTATACTGATCCAACTGTTGCAAGCTCTGACGATAAAATCTAAGAGAATTTTGCTAATGCTCTGAGCTAAAAACAAGGGCTCCATAGGTCTAATATGTACATGTCTAGTGCTACAAAAAATTATGAGTTAGATAGTGAGGTAAAATTAGAAATCAAAGTATTGCAGCACTTCAGAGTCGACCCAGTCTTTAAAATTGACGGAACTTTTAATGGCATTGAGGAGCTATGTGCGTGCGCGGAAGTTCAAGTTCTATTTTAAAGGAAAATAGTGCGGTGTGCCTCAAAGTTGGAAAAACTCTAGGAGTGGGAATAAATCTAAGAGTAATGGTTGTTAACTGTCTCGTCACTAAAACTCAAAACAAAGCATTGGGTCCTACCCAGCCCATTCACCCTGCTCAAGAAAACAGAGCCTTGTTTACAATCTCTGTTATTGTTTTAAATAAACCCCGCTCCTGAGCATCAGCTAATACGTCACAAAAAGGTTGAAACATATTCAGGAGTTATACCACAGTTTAGAAGTCCCTGAGTCCAAGGTTATCAACAAAGGATGAGACTTCAAAGAAGACTGTAGTGAATTTATACTATCTGTTTAGTTATCTTCATGATTCCCTGCAACTGTAAACTTGGTTCTTTCTTGTCAAATCATTAAATAAACTATTCAAATACTATATTTATGGCATATTTATTTTAAACCCGGGATCTTCATATTTTAAGAGTTTCCGGTCGTCTTTGTAATCTCATACTATGTGGTTAACCCCGTATCTATCAAGATTGAAGACGATTTTTGCGTCGTCTCTCAATTGCCAAGTTATAATTTTTCACCTTTCTATAAATATTTACGACTAATTTACATGGAAAGTTAAGGATACTTTAGTTAGTCGAGGGAACCGGTTACGTGAATTTGAATTTCCCAAGAAAGAAGTTGTTCACAATTTTGTTGTCTTTAATGTTGAAAATGCGCGAATGTTTTTTCACGAATCTTTGGTCGGTAATGTTGGTCGAAAGGCAAAAAATATTCCACGGTTTATTTCAAGGACTATTAATTTCTCTGTACCTGAGGAGTTTTCATGATGACTGTATGCGGGAAGAGAATATTGAATCCAAGATTCCGATCTGCAGACTCAATACATTGGTGCTGCCGACGATATTGACCCCTAGCGTAAAACAAAGGAACTTTAAAGGGAGTGTCCGAGAAAATAGAATTGAGGGTATGGGATGAATTGTTTTAACATCAATGATGGGAAATATCTTTTTTTCCAATACAATCTTTACCAAAAGAATGAAATTTTTCAGAATCCAGAAATAGAAAATGAAATATTTAGATTTATTACATCTTTTCATACTTTCCCGTCATCCAACCAGGGGTGATATATATTTCAGAATTATGAAAATGATTTTTGATGATTTTGGGAAAAAAAAATGAAAAATGGGACAACAAAAGGCAAGTTTTATTCTTTCTTTCAGATACTTTTCCCCCAAAAATTCATTTTTTATTTTCTAAATTTTAGCGAAAAAAAACCTAAACATTTTTTGCCCCCCCCCCCCCCGCGTAAAAATACATAACTGGGAATTTTTTTCATAAGGGGTGGGGGTATAAAATCCCTGCATCCAACCTGTTCATCTTGAAGGTAACGTTGTATAGTTCTCCGTCATATCTTCTTTGGAAGTTTTCATCGAACCTTAGAAGTAGTTCAGTACTTCTCACCTCTTCTATACAACCCTCGTACACAGGCATATTAGGATCCTTGCAATATTATATTTGATTTTTTACAATTTTTTAGAATTTTAATTGATCATTAGTTAAATAATTTAATTAATATTACCTTTATATCGGAGAGTAGGACGGAATCCCCCAGACACAAGCTCGGTCTCCTCTCCTTTAATCCAGGCACTGTAAGTGTAAGGAAAGCTCCATGACGAACCAAGAAAACCTAGAAAATTTAGCGGTTTTTGAAACCTTAACTGTAAACGAAACTCGGCCGTCGGAAGCTTTCGTATTAGCGAACCAGGGATATATGTTTTCTTGAAAATTAATTTTAGTTCATCCACCCCTTTAATGAAAAATATTTCTTTTCCACAGATGTTAGGTATGCTAATGTTTTATTTGTTACGTTTAGTAAAACAAATAATATTTAGTGGGAAAAGAATGGATTTTTAGGCATAAAGTGTAGAGTGTATTTCCCCCAGACATTTAAAAAATCCCCCCCCCTAAAAATATATACAACCCGGACAAGTTAGATCGGTTCACCGACAAAGAGTCAAACGACACTGGGTCAAACGACAAAGGGTCAAAAGCGCGACAAAGGGTAAAACGACATGGTCAAAAAATGCGACAAAGGAGCAATTTTTTTTTTTAATTTTGACATCTGTTACAGTTAGTATTTATTTATTATTATTTAGGGTTAGGTTAAGTTAAGACACTTTCTGGACCGAGCGCTGCGGCCACGGGTTAGGTTAGTTAAGACACTTTCTGGGCCGAGCGCTGCGGCCACATGGTCAATTATATCCATGTCTAACAAGATCCATGTACAAAATTGATAGGAGGGTTGCGAGTTTCCTATGATTCAAATCAAAAAATATTTTTATCATTTTGACCTTTGGTCGTTTGACCCTTTGTCGCACTTTTGACCCTGTGTCGTTTGACCTCTTGTCGGTGAATCTCGTTTAAGATCTAACTCCTTGAATATCTAATACCTAACCAATCTTCGAAAAAATATTTCTTACAAAACATACTTTTGAGAAGTACACAAGCTTACCTGTTCCAGACTGTACTGTGCTAGCTCTAATGTAGCAGCCACTTCCTCTATGTACAGTAGTGCTTTCAGTTTACTAAACAATAATATAATTACACGGAACAGTAAACATTCTACGAAGGAAATGAGTTTTTGCCAAAAACTCGAATTTTTAATCCTAAAATCGTTGAAACCCAGTACTGTTAACTTGATATTTCAAATTATAAATTCTGTTAGATTAAATTAGTCTAAGTTTGAGATATCAAAGATTTACACCACCAGGGTGCAAAGATATAGGGATAAGAAAATTTGAGTTTGTGGCAAAGTAGATTAAATATCGAGTTAAAACTATGGGTTTGCTTTATAGATAGAAGATATCTGCAAATATAAAGTAAAACTTCAATCTTAAAATGCGATGTAAATGTAAAAAAGAAAGACATGAATTATTTAATTAATCTTCAAGAAAACTTTAAAAGCTGCAACTGCTAATTATTACAAACACCAAAACATAACAGAAAAGATTTTTTTTTGAAAATTGAATAAACCGTTCTTTCCATAAGACTTAAGTTTGGAACATCTTTATGAATCTGTATTCATTGAATTTGATTTTTTATTTAATAGGAGATTAATAATTTAATTAGTTTAAAAATTTAAATGTTTTACAGAATCAGATGACAGAAAAAACACATATTCCACTGTGGTTGTTGTTGCCCGGAAATTAAGTCAAGTCACTTCTACTGTTATTTCTTCCACTTCTAAACCAAGATGAAATGCAGCTTCTCTTGGTTGCGTCCAAAGGATTTAGGGAGTTAAAATTGTCGGTTTTTCTGTACAGTTAAAGAGGTGTTGGGTATTATGTAAGCTTCCTTGGCAATTTGAGCATGAACATATATTCCACTGATTCTCTTACCTGTCGTAATTTTCCTGGTTCAGTTTGATCAACAGGGTTGGATAAATGCAAACTACTTCTTCAGAGTAATCTGATTCTTCAGCTTTCTCAAACAGGTACAGAGGAACAGGATATCCACCCAACCTTTATAAATAACAGAATTATCAAACTATTCAGCTTTCTCAAACAGGTAGAGGACAGGATATCCAGTGAACCTTTATAAATAACAGAATAATCAAAATATTCAGCTTTCTCAAACAGGTAGAAAGGAGCAGGATATCCACCCAACCTTTATTTATCAAACTATTCAGCTTTCTCAAACAGGTAGAGAGGAGCAGGATATCCACCCAACCTTTATTTATCAAACTATTCAGCTTTCTCAAACAGGTAGAGAGGAGCAGGATATCCACCCAACCTTTATTTATCAAACTATTCAGCTTTCTCAAACAGGTAGAGAGGAGCAGGATATCCACCCAACCTTTATAAATAACAGAATAATCAAACTATTTAGCTTTCTCAAACAGGTAGAGACGATATCCTCCCAACCTTTATAAATAATATATTATTCAAACTAGTTAGGTTTCTCAAACAGGTGGAGGACAGATATCCACCCAACCATTAAGAAAAACCAGAATAATCATAATATCCAGCGTTCTCAACCATGTAGAGAGGAAAAGACATTGATAAAAAAGCAAAATTTTGCAACTTTCATTTAAAAAAAACCTTTTTTACTTGACGCTTTTTGCTCTCCAACCAATTATTTATTAGTATTACTTTAAACACCTGGAACAACATACTTTACACTTGTTCTCCATCTTTCTAAATTCTGTACGCAAATCAATCTCAAAAAGGAGCAATATTTTGACAAATATTGCAGTTCCCAAATCATTTCATCTAGATTCTAATGTTTGGGGAAAAACCTCTATTTTATATTGTAAATCCTGTAACTTTTCTGTTTTGAACAAAAGTTCTAATTTAAAAAAAAAAAACCTAAATCTAAATTTGTTTTCTTCCCAAATTTTCTTGAAAACCGTGAAATGTACCTGTTACTAATATAATCAGGTGGTTGATCTCTCTTCCTCTTGTTCCCCTTAATCACCCAGTTGTCCTGGGTTTCAACCCTGATTATGGTTGAGGTCCCAGAAGTGAAGTCTGAGCTGCCAGAGTTCTTAAATATTCTTTCCAACCTGTCACTCACAACATTAGCACATAGGATGCGTCCTAGATGTTTCAGAATAAATATCAATATATTTTAGAATAAATATCACGTCCTGAATTATTAAGAATAAATATCACGCCCTGGATATTTCAAAATAAATATCACGTCTTGCATAATTGAGAATACATATCACGTCCTGGGTAATTCAGAATAAATAACAAGCCTTGGATATTTCAGAATACAAATCACGTCTTCGATAATTCAGAATACAAATAACGTCCTAGATAATTAAGAATACATATCACGTCCTGGATAATTAAGAATAAATATCACGTCTTGGATAATCAAGAATAAATATCACGCCATGGATAATTAAGATTAAATAGCACGCCCTGAATAATTAAGAATACATATCACACCCTGGACAATTACTAATAAATATCACGCCCCGGATAATTAATAATACATATCACGCCCTTGATAATTAAGAATAAATATCAAGCCCTTATTATTAAGAATAAATATCAAGCCTTGGATGTTTAAGAATAAATATCACATCATGGTCGTTAAAGAATAAACATGACGTCATAATTGTTTAAGAATAAATATGACGTCATGGATGTTTAAGAATAAATATCACGTCATGAATGTTTAAGATTAAATATGACGTCCTGGATGTTTAAGAATAAATATGACGTCATGGATGTTTAAGAATAAATATGACGTCATGGATGTTTAAGAATAAATATGACGTCATGGATGTTTATGAATAAATATCACGTCCTGGATGTTTAAGAATAAATATCAAAGTATTTTTGGGGGGCCATGGACAAAATACCAATAAAAAATCATTATTGATTGCCAAAATAGTTATCAAGGGTGAATAATTAGCTAAGAANAACTGGCAAGTTCTCCCAACCTCCACTTTTTAACATAATTTTTTTCATCATTCATTTTTAACAATGTTGTGATAAAATCTCTTAGAAATTCTCTACAAAGTGGAAAATTTAAGTTTAATGATTTTCAACCAAATGTACAAATAAGTTTACAACTAACCAGCCTTTCCAACTTGATATATCTCTCTTAATTAGAATGAAATACCTATGTTGAAGTGTTTAAAGTTGAACACAACCAATTGATCATGCTTCCCAATATTTCCTGGTCTTAACTTGAACCTGATTTCTAAATAGATACATATAAATAAACCAAATTGCTTTAAAACAAGACTTGTAAGCTTCATCCAACCAGACTAAAGTGTCCAGAAATCAAAACAGCTTGGCCAGGCTAAAATTAATGCAAATATGTGAAAGAAATAAAACTCTTTCTCAAATACTATAGAAAACTAAATGAGAAAAGAGTATTTAGGCGAAATTAAAATCCTCATTCCTTGATCAACCGTGATTATTGATTATTTTAAAATATTAAAAATTACTTGAAACAATTTGGAAAATCAAGTAAAAAACTGTGATTATTATAAATTACCTGACACTTCTCTAGCGGCAATAATTGAGTCTCCTGACCACGTGATCTGATTTCCTGGTATTCCAGTTCCACTCTTACTATTCACCTGTCCAGGAAACCTTTTAAAAGTTTAAATAAATAGCATACAGAAAATATTATAATTCAATTTTGTATTTAAATCTCTCATTCAAAGATATCTGGAAGTCACCCCTTACTTAAAATCCTTACTTAATTATCTTGCGATTAATTTTCTGTTTATCTTAAACTGTATCTTTCAATTGATGCGTTTTTGACGATATCTTAAGCTAAAGTTATATCCACATTGGAGGGAGGGAAGGCAACCTCCCCCACACAGCTTCCGAACCTTAGTTTACCTATTTGCGGCAGTGTATTGCGGAAGATCATTCCCGGAAGACTATTTGGGGGAGGTTTGGAAGCTCTGTGGAGACGCCCATTGCCGCAAATAGGTAAAATAAGGTTCGGAAGCTGTGAATGGGTAGGTTGCATTCCCTCACTCCTCAGTGCTAATCTTTTTTTTTTTGTAGATTTGTAGATTTTAGAATGTAGAGTTAAAGACATGACATGACATAAAATATATCTAAATTCTTGAGTTAGTTATGTTAAAAAAGGGATTTTTTGCAGATTGACCATGTTGGTCCAAATTCTAAATTAGTTAGTATGTCTGAAGTTGGGTATTGTTATTTTCCGTTTTTTAAACATTCTGAATTCTTAACATTACAAAATAAACATATTTCAAAATTTATTCTCTAAGTTATCTTATACCACCATGCAAATCTTGACTCTGGGAGAAGAAACAAGCCTGAACAATTTTTAAAACCATTTGTTAAAGAACGATAATTGTTGTTTTGTCAGAGTCAAAATTGATGAAAACAAATTGATAGAAAATAAAATTCTAAAACACACAAATTCTGAGATTTTTTATGAGGCCCCTTAAATCCTAAAATATTTAATAAAAATGAATAATAACGATGTTCATCTCTATTTACAACAAAAATGTTGTTTTACTTCTATAACTTCATAGACTTCAAAGACATTTGTACCTAATTGATTCCAATTCTATACTATCAGCATTGGAATTTCTTATGGTTAGCTTCAGCTCTGCAGTTTCAGTAAAGTTGAGAGTTCCAAAGGATTGTTCTCCACGGATCTCAACTCCGTTCTTATCAGATAGCAGTGCTGCTTGATCATCCAGTTTCTCCTAAACAACCAACCCAGGAAACATTTCATCAAACCCACTTTAAGTTCCTATGGCGAAGATGAATTGTAAATAATTCTGGACTTTCGACATCGGCATGTCGGAGACCAAACTAAATCTTTACAGGGAATGCTCTGACAAATCTTGAATTGACTCAAAATTACGAAAAAGCTTTGAAAATTTGGAAAATTTTTAACATTTACCATTAAAATAAATTTCTTTTTATAAGGGAAATGAATTACTTTTAACACTTGATCAGTGGAATCAACTTGATAATTTTAGATTAAGGGTTTACAAATTAAAATTAAATAGATTTTTCTTCCCTACTGTGATATAAAGGTCATGATCTGTCCTATGGCCGAATTTAAAGAATTTGAGCGGCGGTTTAAATTTAAACCGCGGCTTAAATATGGTTGGTTCCACTTAAAATTGTATCAAATGTTTCAAGATTTAAGCCGGCGCTTAATTTAAACCGGGTTTTGGCGGATTTAAACCGCGGCTCAAATTCTTTAAATTCCATCTCTACTTCAAGAAAGTAAACTGTAAAAAAATCTATCCTTTTTAAGTCTCACTGTCTGAGTACCTGTGAAGGAGGCAAAGCTGATCTGCCAAAATATTTGTGAATAGTTTTAGGTGAAACAGAAGTTGCTCTCCAGATACAGTCAAGGGTAGCAGGGGTAGGAACACATTCAACAGCATGAAATCTAGGAAAGGACGTTTATTTAAAATTTTTTAAAAGGTTTCATACAAATTTTAAGTTAGTTCTTAATCTTTTTGGTTTGAAAACTTCACTTATCAATAAGTGCAACATATGCATTTTTAAAAAAGATGAAAGTTAGAGCATAACATTGGAATATAATAGCATAAAATAACATAAAATAGCAAAAAAAAAGCATAAAATAGCATAAAACAGCATAAAATAATAAAAGCATATAGATCAATCTGTAAGATATCTTCACAAATATATTTGCCTTAAATATTAAAATAATGCGTTTTACTTTTAAAATCAAAAGACAGTTATACAGCTCAAGTCGGGCAATGAAGATGCCTAGTATTGATATTGGCCAAATTACATTACTAAGGAGTAATATTATCACTAGAAATAAAAAAATGTTCTGAGATCAGAATTTTTTAATGAATCTTGCTGTCCAATGAAGGAATTTTTGAATTTGAGGATCAGGATTAATCCATAGATTTGCATAAGATGGAGATCATGCTTAAATACCCGTGGAATATTGAATCCTCACCTAACATTATCTCTATTCCTTGGAGCATATTTGTAGTTGCAAACAGACTCATCAAGGAACACATCCCCTGAACAGATATGGAATCATCAGATTGTTTTTTAATTTCTGAAACTTCTGTGAAAAGTCATGATCCGTTATCAGGTTCTTGAGGTGAAAATTCTTTTTCAAATAATACTGTTCTTATATAGCAAAGAAAAAACAAAGGAATTGAGTTTTTGTCACAAACTTAAACTTTCTAATCTCTATCTTTGCAACCTAATGGTATACATCTTATATATTTCAAGCTTAAAGACTATTTGATCTAGGGGACTTCATGGTATAAAATATCGAAGGTCTACAACATCCGACTGCAAAGATATAGTGATTAGTACATTTAGAGTTTGTGAAAAAAATTTATTTAATATTATTTCAACCAAAAGATCGAGAGAAAAACTAGAATAACCTGAAATTTTCCCACGTTTTCCTCTCATAGCATGAACTTCTCCATCTCCAGACTGAGAGATTCAAGTAATGAATAAATAGGATGAAAAATAAAATTGAGGGTTACCTACTAAACTGAGTTTAATAGAGTAAGTGAGTGAAGACAATCTTTCATTGATTCATAACTTGAACCAGCTCAGTGTGAGAGAATTATTTTACCTCAATAAATTTACACTAATTCCAGCAAATAAAAACTCTAAAGAACTAAGCTCTGATTCACAACAGGTTTATTTAAGTTTTTTGATGGTGAAGGAAGAAAAAATCTGGCAAGTAATTAAAATTAAATGAAATCTTTAAACAACGTTAAACCACTTTAAAAACCGTTATACCACTTTTATTGTAACTTTGAGTATTGTTAATTCTATTTAAATCTTTTAGAGAGAAATTGCTTCATGCATGTATTATTTTATTATTAAAGAAAGAAGACTTAGTATTGATTTGTTATCCATCATGCAGTTTAAATATATTCCTTAATTCTCTGAGGAACAGCCAGTACAATCTTAGATCCATTAAAGTCTGAGTCATCTCCTTCCACTCTGCAGGAGAATAGGAGTTGATCCCCTGAGGAAAAACATATTTATATTTTCTTTATTGCCTTTATAATTTAAACCAAAAACAACCAAGAATAAGTAAAAAGTATCTTGGCCCAAATGACACATGATGGTATGATGGTTGGGTATTCAAATACAATTTTTCTAGCTGAAAATATTATTTTCACTCATTACATATATATCATTTGTTTTTCAGTAGGAATAAAGGGAAAGATCGGCTATGTAAGGTAGTTAAACTGAGTATGCAGTGTTGTGGACAAATTATTTAGGATTCATTTGACACATATAAAACGTTTCCATGATGTATAATCACTGAGTTTGAGTGCAAAGTCGACGTTCAAAATCATGAAAATGGGTGGGTACGTTTTCAGAATCGGTTTTTTTATCATTAAATAACGACGACGAAAACTATATTAAGAATTCTATAGTAGACGAATTAAATGTTTTGGAACATATTTTTTGAAAAGAAATTTGTCAATAAATCGAAGTTTCCTTTTCCATCATTATATTGCATTTTTTAGAAGTACATTTATTGCTTCTAGATATAATTACATGATAAATAACGAGTGTGTAAAAGGAGAGGAAGTTGAGCAGGTCTTCTCCGGTTCCAGGGTCCGACACAACTGATTTGCGGATTTCATAATCCTCTTTGGGGGATTTCATATCCTCTACAATTTCTTATTTTCTATGAATTTATTCGTTGATATCTACAAATTCTTTAAATGTCGTCTTTTCAATAAAAATTCCAGAAAATCTGCAGAAAATCTTTGTGATGTAAGACAGATTACAGACACTAATAATTAAAAAAGATTACTTATTTTCGATGATAAGAGTTAATTTTCATTTTCTCAACTTGTTCAGTAACAACTAATTAGTTTAATGTAGAATTTTGTTTAAATTTTTTGTCGTGGTTATTTAATAATTAAAAAAAAAACAATTCTGAAACGTATCCACACAAAAGTACGATTTTGAACGTGGACTTGGTGCTCAAATCCAAAATTTACAGATCTTTAAAAAATTTCATATGTCTCCAATGAATCCTAAAGAATTTGTCCCCAACATTACATACTCAGTTGAACTACCTGACATTGCCGGCCTGTCCCTTTAAAAAACTAACTCTAATTTATTAATATATAAACATTTATCGGTGTAGAAAACCCAGATTTTCTACGACACTTTGGAACTTATTTTTCTCAGAGCTTTTAGAATGAATGTAGGTGACAATTAACCTAAATTAGAGTACCAAAAACTATTCAGTATTCTGAAACTGACTACCAGCCTACCAGGAGTAAAAGCTACAAAACAATTATTTGCTAAGGAAATGTTGAGTAAAATAAAGATAAAATTTCACGATTTTCTTTACAAAAAAACAAGCAAAATATGATATTTTTTGTCCCCTACCAACTGAAAAATCCAAATAGCTTGAAGAAGAATAGTGGGGTTAAATATGTTTAGAAATCCCTTATGGATTAAAAATTAATCTGATAAAATATTTATTTTTAATCCTTAAAATCCATAAATTGATTGAATTAACCATACCTTTGACGGGAAGATAATTTTCCTTCCATATCTGGGCAAGATTTAAGCTTCTCTTCTCTTGATTGATTAGGACCTCCATCCTACCACCCTGAACACTCAAAACCAGACCTCCCTCTTTTCTAGACATCCCACCCTCCTGACGTAATTAAATAAATGCAAATAAAGCAGTTATCTTAGAATCTACTTATACATGGAAAAAGTAAATTCTGGATAACTGTTAGCAAATTAAAAGGGAGTGAAAATGGTATCTTATAATTCGGGTTCATATAAGAACTTCCTTTACAGTAAATTCAAAATTGTAATTTTAAAAACATTTTGCTAAAAAATTGATTTGATTTTTCAAGTTGATTAATAATTGTTTATGCTCTATGAACTGATCATCAGACTGTCATAAGCATAAGGAGGGACCAGTAGAACTAAAAGAATATGGACTGATAAGCCTTAATTAAGCAATTTTATGCATAATTAGGACATAGTAAGAACATATATTAATAACATTTATTTTGCTTACATATGCAAAGAAGCATAATTATGAAAAGTAAAACTTTAACCTCTTCTTTTTCTTCTTCTTCAGGCTCAGCATCATCCCAAGACCTTCTCCAAATCTTCTCAAACTCTAGCACTTGATACTCCTCATTCTAGAAGATCATGCTTATGCTTTTACTTTTCAGCCATAAAAAAAAGATTTTAAGAAGGTCGTCCTGTAAGATTCAAAACAGCATTGTCAAATTAGATTTTTTCAATTTTTTAAATAAATATTTAAAAATGCTGCCCGCATCAGTATTTACTACAACTTAATGCTCTCAAAATACAAATTTCAACTGTTTACTAATGAGAGATTATTATAAATTTCCTAATCTCTCAATGGTTCATCTAGTTTTAGCATAAAAAATTAGCAAAAAAAATAGAAAAAGGAATTAGTTGCTACAAACTCTGATTTTCTGATCCCAATATCTTTGCAATCTAAAGTTGTAAACCTTAGGTTTTTAATGCATTTAATTCTGTTAGATCTAATAATTTAAGTTAGAAATTTCAAAGGTTTATACCATCAGGTTGCAAAGATATAGGGATTAGAAAATTTGAGTTTGTGGCAAAAACTTAATACCCTGAAAATGTTTTAGCTGTACAAAAAAAAAGTAAATCTTGATGAAATGTTTATGACCTGGATCTGGTTTTTTCAGGGCGGATCCAAATCTGGATCCAGATTGTAATCAATATGAATTGGATCCTGCTCACTCATGTGGCATTTTTTCAGTGGCATCCTTCCGTGTATTAAACTTTTTAAGAGAACTTATTTTTAAATTGGTCTAAAATATGCAAACATCTNTAGTTATCTATTCAAAGGGAATAATTAGTTATCTATTCAAAGGGAATAATTAGTTATCTATTCAAAGGGAATAATTAGATATCTATTCAAAGGGAATAATTAGATATCTATTCAAAGGGAATAATTAGATATCTATTCAAAGGGAATAATTAGTTATCTATTCAAAGGGAATAATTAGTTATCTATTCAAAGGGAATAATTAGTTATCTATTCAAAGGGAATAATTAGTTATCTATTCAAAGGTACAATCCGTACAATTTGAAAACAAATCCGTACAATCCGTACATCCGTACAATTTTAGGGTTAAAAAAAATCAATCCATACAATCCGTACAATCCGTACATTTTAGCCACCCTGTAAATATTGATAAAATCCTTTCATATTTATTTTAAGCAGAATTAAATCACAATTGATATACATGTGAAATTTAAATATTACAAATGGTAGTCATATGACATATAAACAATAAACATGGTAGTTAAGAGTAAAACAATGCTTAGTGTACTTAGATATTCAATTAAATTACTGAGGAGTACAGAATGGTAGTTGGTACAAGATGATTATGTAAGTAACAATTGTGCCAAATTCTGCTGTAAGTGTGGACCTCTGTACAGAGAAAAATCCCATGGCTGACAAGGGTTCTTCTGCTTCAAAACTGTGAAAAAGGATGAGGATGTCTTGCCTTGTTTGTTCATCCACAATAAAAAAGGCCTCCCTAGGTTATCAAGCATGAGATATTAAAACTAAAAATTTAAGATGTGTACTACCTTAGCTCAACAAGTACACTTTTAAAGCTAGAAAAAGCAGAGTCAGCAATCAGAGTTATGTAGAGCAGAGTGAGAATAGGGATCAACCCTTGCAACACAAACACAAATCCTATGTTACTCAAACTCATCCTTTCTGGTAAGCATCTTTGTAAGCTCATCAAAGATAGGTATATATTCAATATTATCATTATTGAGTTGGAGATATATACACAAAACAGCCCAAATCCAGATCCTTTTTTAATCGCCCTGAACAAAGAAAGTAGTTACAAATCTATCATTTACTCAAAATCACAGTTTAAGTTACCTGAAGTGGTTGAGAATATTGGATATCTTGTCAATACTGATGCTTTCCAATTGTGCTTGGTAGATTTCATTTTCAAGTGCGGCAAATGAAGACCCAAAAATGAGAAGAAGAATTGTATAATATGTCATGTCTATACCATAAAATACAAGACCAGGCCAGGACATATCATAGTATATTGACACATATACTAGATACGTTAGTTTTACAATGAGAGCCAGAATAAGTAGAGGCATCAGCTTTGGTGCCTTTAATTTTTCATTCCTCAAGATATGCTCACCATTTCTCCACAGATATCCTGTGATTGGTGGGATTATCATTGTTGCAAGGATCATGTTAGCTTGGAAGCCATAGCTAATTATAAAAAGAGGTAAAGTAACCCCCTGAAATGAGTTATTTTTAAGACAAAAGTTTATCAATACTATTAAAGGAGTAATCATCCAAAAAAACTGACCCAACCAGTGGAAAAACTTGAGTCTTTCAATACCAGACACAAGCTTGGATAGCATGTTTTTTTTCTTCAATATTGTCTCCTCCTCATTAGGACTTTTCACCATTACCCTGTAAATAGATTTGATGATAAAAAATCAATAAAGTAAAATGAAAATAAAAATGAACCTCATTTCTTCCCTGAGAATATTGAACTAACAAAGGGTATTGTTTGTGTTTCTCTGTTTGTTTAAAAGTTCACAAAAAGCAATCCATAAAGCTACACATAACAGAAACAAAAAAATTAAATATCACTTGGATTTCTAGCTTTCAGTGCCCATAGACATATTAAAATAATTTTGAAATATGCCATGAATGGCATAAAAAAATCGACAAAAATGTAATACTTGAATATCTAAAACTTGTTAAATATTAATATGTTCTCATTATGTAAATGGTTGCTTAATTCAACCCATTAAAATCAAATAGTAATAAAAAACAAAATTTATTTTGTTTAGGTTAATTGAATAATTTATCTAAGAAAGACTTCTAAAAAATTGGTTTAATTCAACATTGATAATGCTTAAGAGTCTTGAGATACAATTTTATCTACTTTTTTATTATATAGAATGTATTATACAAGTGAGAATCAACATAAAATGGAAACACCAATATAATCAAAATGGCGATTTAAAAAAAACAAATTTCACAAAATAATCAGTGACACACAAAATAATCTATTTTTATACAAATATTTGATACAAGATAATAATATAAGTAACTATGGTGCAGAATTCTGCTGCAAGTGTGAACCTTTGAACAGAGAAAAATCCTTTCGCTGACATTGGCTCTTCTGTTTCATAAATATAAATTAACATCAGTATTTGAGGCTGAGACTGCTGGTCCTATATTTGGCACCTCCCTAAATTTAACATTAGAATAAAAAACTAGCTTGATGGATTTTAACAGGGTGTGCTTTTTTATTATTTATCACACTTATAAGAAAAATTGAAAAAAAATGAAATTTTATCTATATATATATACTTTGCTTGTCTTTCTGTCTGTTTGTATCCAATAAATATCAAAACAGCTGAACCAATTGGTCTACAAATTTGTGTGGGACCTCATATGACCCCAAGGAAGGTTTATGGATGCTTAAAATTACAAAAAATTGAGTAACAATTAAAAATTAAAATAGAAAATGGGTGCCACGTGCCCTGATAGCCTAGTATTTAACAACATAGTAAAGGGAAAACATCATTTGAAAAGAAAGGAGATGATTTGTAAGGAATCTTGTCACATGAATTCTCTTCATTTCTGTAAAGATTGAATCAGCAATAAGTGAAAAGTACAGCAGAGTTACAAAAGGGGAGAAACCTTGCAGTGCAAATATAGTTTCTAGGTAAATAATCTTGTATGGAAAGTAGCCTTGCATGTACATGATCATCAAGTAGATATCTAGTATGATCATTATTGAGTTGAAGATGTAATTACAAAACATTCCTAATTCTAAGCCTGCCTTTAAAGTCCTTAAGTTATGTTTACAGTTATCATAAATTCTGTAGTTTACTAAAAATATTGAAAGTTACCTATAGTGGACAAGTATGTTAAAAACCTGTTCAAATTGATGGATTCTTATTTAGTTCAGTGTATTTTATCTTTAAGTGTGCCAAATAAAGAGCCAAAAACCACCAGAAGAATTGTATTATAAAGCATGTCAAGCATATAGAACAATATCACCATCTAATTTTTAGCAGAAGCAATGCTAATGGATTAGTGACTAGATAGGATGACCTTAAGATCAGTGCAATAATGAGAATTGGCAACTGCAAAGGTAAAGTTAATTTTCTATTTTTTTCTATTTTCAACTAGTTCACAGTGTAGATTTCCAAAGGTCAAAAGGATACTCATAGTGGCAAGGATTAGGGTTGCCTGATGACAAAAAGAGGAAAAGAGATTCCATCAAGAGAAATGTTTTTGGAAAGAAATGGAATCAAAAGTAAAATAGGAATTGTCAACCAATAAAAAAAAGCTTTTGTAGACCAATAACAAGTCTAGATACAAAAGATGATTGAGAGTTGGACTCCTCATAAGAACTATCTATGAAAAGACTGCAATAAAACTTTGAGTTTAATCTTCTTTATTTGTTTTACCAAGAAAATATGTTCAGTAAAGAGTGAAATTAAAAATTTTACTTACCTCTGATCCAGAGTTTATTCAGCTGGAACAAAATGTTGATTTCATGTGTCTATTTAAATGCCTGCAATTGCATCCAAAGTAACTAATACACAAGACCAAAATAAAGTAAAAATATACTTGAATTTTAGCAATTTTTGCAACTGGCAATAATTGTTAGATCCAAATCTGCTGTGTTTGAGCTGACAATGCCATGCTGGTGCCCTTTCTCTATTTTTAGTTTTAACATAATGTCTGTATAGTTACTATTTTTTTAAAAGAGACTTTTTTTATTAATAAGCCCATTTCTCACTGTTAACAAATTTTCAGTCAACACTGAAAAAAGGCCACATTTCTGAGCACTGCTTAGGGTCCAATTCATTTTAATGCAAATCTGGATCCGGGTTTTGGTTCCCCCCCCCCCCCTAAAAAATGGATCCAAAAACAGATCCAGCTCATAAACATTTCTTTAAGATTTCAATGCTTTTTAAATTTGCTCATTCTTATGCTTAAACTTTATGTTTCATTGAGTTTAACAAGTGTGTAACAATATTTCATTAGGTAATTGCTGACATTTGTATTTTGAGAGCAAAAAGTTAAAATCTTCTTTGAAGTGTGATACCACTTTCAAAAAGATATATCCTTGGAGGAAAAAAATTATATTTAAAAAATATATACTTTTGGTCAGTCAATATAAGAAATAATTTGAAATTTTATTCAAATTCCAAGAAATTGTAATTAACAAACATGAAAATTTACACCTTTCCAACAAGAAGATAACTAAAATACAATAAATTACAAAACTCTTTTTGATATTTCATTTTTCTTTCAGATCAAAAATGTAAAAAAAGATTTTGGCCAAAATTGTCCAACTCTACCAAGTTTACTTTTACCCCTGGCATATGGTGCCACCATGACAAGGTTGTTTTACATAAGATAATTGCACATTCATGAAGTTATAGAATAAACTGTAATAAACAGAACTTTATATGCACATTCCTCATATTTAAAGACAACTATTTAAATTAAATATATTGTTATCTACAAACACAGGCCTAAAATAATAACTGATTATAAGCCCATGACATACCATTTTTAGTCTAATATTTTTTTCAAAATATTCTTTAAAATACAAAGTCTTCTCTCATACTAGCTCAATAAAAAAATAATTCAATGCTGGGTACACTTTAAAGGTTCAAATGGGGGTTATTAATATCTCAAGCTGTTTTCACATACCATAAAATAATTTCCTTGTGAACCTGAGTACTAACTTAGTTTGTACAAGAACAAATTTAAAGGCTTCTGTACCACATTTTAACAATCAGAAAACATATAACACTAATATTTCTGTATCTTTATTGTAAAAACAAACACACTACATAGGATTCTAAATCTAAAAGGAGAAAGAGAAAATTTCATCTAAGTGAATTTTAAGATATGAAATTTCTACTTCTAAAACCAGAAAAACAAATTAGTCTGTCTTAGGTTTACAGAATGGTAATTGGTACAAGACAATTGTGTAAGTGATTAGTGTGCCCAATTTTGCTGTGAGTGTAGACCTCTACACTGAGAAAAAGCCAAGAGCAGGCAAGGGTTTATTTGCTTTAGACTGTGGATAAGCATGAGAACTTTTGAACAAACTTTCTTATCATCAACCAAATACGCCTCTCTAGAAAGAGCAATGAGCAATGTGATAGTTTATCTTAAAGGAATAAAAGTGCTCTTCATTGCTGAGAAAACTCTGTCAGCAATCAATTTAAAGTAATACAAAGTAAACATGGGGACAGAAGCTTGCAGCACAAATACAACTGCCAAGTTGTAGTTTGAATATACTTATCTATATTCATATCTGTCTTTCAATGCTCTTAAACTATAAAATATTCCTAATTAGAAAGAAAAAACAGGTCTAACATTAGTAAGATGTGAAAGGTAGCTGTATTGCTCCAGAATCTTAAAAATATGGTCAAGATTCATTGCCATATAACTTCTTCTAACTTGTTCATCAAATGTCCCGAATATAGACCCAAAGAGTAAGTACTATGCAGTACAAAATATCAAAGACTATAAACACTAAAATAAACCCTGGAAGAGGTGGAGTATTTAATACATCAAAGATTTGATATGCAACTTTTATCATGATAGAAGGAATAAGTACTAGCATCAACATTGGGAGTTTCAATTGTTTGATGTTTAAGATTTCACCACCATGGAAAACAGGGGAACTATCATTGAAGAGGAAATTATACTTGCCATCATGCCATACTGGCAAAAAAAGAGCCAGAGAACTTGGTAAAATTTGTGTTTGCAAATTGTTTACAAAGCTGATAAGAGGTAAAGCTGGTAAAACGTTCCAAGCAAATTGCCCAAACCAATAAAAAAATTAAAAAATACCAATCACAACCAAAGATATGATTGATGTTCTTGTATAGGAGGCCTCCTCATGTTGAGACTTTCAGTGAAAACCCTATGATGAAAATATTGCAAATTTTCCTTTTCTTCACTAAAATTTAATGTTAGTAATATTACGATGAACACAGTACAAAAGTAAACTTACCTCTGTTTGCTTTAAAAACCAATAACATTTTTACATGGTTACATACAACAATATTCATGTAGGTTTAATGTATATAGTTAGATAAGGGTACTATGAAATTATTATGAAAAACATTATTATCTTATTTTGAATATAATTTTACATGGATGTAGGTTTAATGTATATAGTTAGATAAGGGTACTATGAAATTATTATGAAAAACATTATTATCTTATTTTGAATATAATTAGTGTTGGAAATATTTCTTAAATTAATACCTGATTGAGACTTCAAATTACGACTAACAATTAGATGAAAAGGAATTGAGTGTTTGCCACAAACTTTAATGCTCTAATCCTAATATCTCTGCCATCCAATGCCATTGACCTTATATATTTCAAACTATAAATTCTGTTAGATCAAATAATCTAAATTTGAAATGTCTAATAATTTCGTCATAAGATTGGACCGATATAGGGATTAGAAAATTCGAGTTTGTTGCAAAGACTCAACTCCTTTGGAAATAATACAAAAGTTACCTCATTGATTCTCTGTAGTTTGAGAGAAACATAGTCTCCAACTCTTGGGGAACGATTTAAATGGTTTGACTGAACAATTAACAAGTTTTAACAGTTTTTTTGAATTTTTTTGGAGATGTGTAATATATTAGTTCTGAGATCCATACTACCCCCCCCCCCTCAAAGTCACAAACAAAAATTAAGGAGATTTTTACAGGGTACCTTGTTGCAGGCTTGCAGAATTTTTTTGGGACTAGGCAATGAAATAATATTTTTTTTTAGGTTTTCCTTTCTCCATCCTTCTTATTCCTCGTCTCTTTTTTTTCTCTTCTCTCTTTATTTTGGGAGAAAAAATATTATATTTTTTCCCCAAAAAGGTTTTGAATAGTTTCTTGTGTGAACCAAACAGAAAAGTATTCACCCGTGTGAAAAAATTGATTGATGAAGATTCAAACATTTAGTCATATATTAATTAAAAAAAAACAAATAGGACACTAAATGTCATCTTGTCAAGATTTAGGGGTTTTTCGTTCACATGCTGTGTAGAATTACAAGACAGAGGAGAGCCTGTTCTACGCCGACTGTGATAACTCCTTTGGGCTTCTGCCTCAGGGTTATTGTGAACGAAAATCCCTTAAATCTTAAAAAGACTACATCTAGTGTGCTATCTGCTATTTTAACTAATATANTGATAACTCCTTCGGGCTTCTGCCTCAGGGTTATTGTGAACGAAAATCCCTTAAATCTTAAAAGGAGTACATCTAGTGTCCTATCTGCTATTTTAACTAATATATGAATTCAGCTATCTTGGCGGAGGAATCGAGTCTTTGCCACAAACTCAAATTTTCGAATTCTTATATCTTTGCAACTTGATAGTGTAAACCTTTGATATGGTCTATGACATTGAGTTGCAAAGATATAGGGGTTAGAAAATCAGAGATAGTGGCTAGGACTCAATTCCTTTCCACAGTTTTTGTTTTAACAACTGCATTACACTCTTCTATTTCATGATTTTGGTGGTTAACAATACAAATTAAAAATAAAGAAGCTTTATATTATACGGTTTACAATCTAGGATTAAATTAATTTTTAAAACTTGTATTAAGCGATTAAGAGATTTGTTAGGCAAAGAGAGGTTAAATGCGCTGCCCCCCTCCTCCCTCCCTCCTTACCAGCTTTCAAGGTTATTCCTTCCTAATTAAGGTTCAAGGTAAACACAAAGAAGTTAAGCAACTTTTCGTAACAAAAATGTTAGGAAATTTTATTTTGAAAAAATGAAAGTACCTTAGGGATAGATAGGAAGGACAGGTAGATAGCAGAGTCAATTATACAGTAGGAGGAGAATACGTCAGTGATTTTTCCAGTGTAATTCTTCAGTAAAATAAGGTTTAATTCAACAAATTTTCACGTCAAGTAATTTAGGAGTTCAAAGGTGATAAATGTGCAGTTAATATTAAAATTGAGAAAAAAATTTTACTTTAAAATTAATTTCACTTGAACTAAATTCTTAAATGATTAAATCAAAAAAAGGCAGAGACCTTCGTACAAAGTTTTGTGCTTGCAAAGTGTATACAAAGTTGATAAGAAGGAAAGATGGTATAAAACCATCATACCAAATTGTCCAAAACAATAAAAAAAATCCTAATCTTCGGAAACCAATCACAACTAAAGATATGATTGATGTTCTTGTATATACTTTGAAAAGTCTTTGATAAGATAACTTGGTTAGATTTGTAGAATTCCTTAATATCCAAGATAAATTCTTCACCAAGCTCTCGCCTAAAAATTTGAATTAAGCAAGGAAACTGAACACTGCCATACACTCTAATATTATAATTAATGCTTAGGATCCGAGGATCCACAATATTTTGCCTTTCTGGATCCAGATCCAAAACAGTAAAAACCAAAAACGTATGCTCTCAAATCTAAATCTGAAGTGTTAAAAACAGAGAGATTATTAAAATTGTTCTTTGAATGGTTCATCGAGTTTTGGCATAAAAATGATCGAGAAAAAACTTCTTTTGAAAATTTTCTTTTTTTCAAAAAAAACCAGTAATTCTTAAAGAAATGTTCATGAACTGAATCAGGATAAATTTTTTCCGACCTGCATCAAAATGAAATGGATTCTAGGCACTGAAAAATCCTTATATCAAAAACCTGATATTACAAACATAAGCAGTTTTTATCTTGATGAATTTATTGTTTCAAATGACAGATGTTCAAACTAGGATGTTATAATTGGAATTTGTGGCGAATGGATTATTTTTCGACGCACTCGCATATAGTTACTACTTCATAATATTTTTGATTTTGTTTTTTAAAAAATAATTTTCGCTGGCGCTGGATTTTCGAGCACTCCTGGAAAATTTGAAAATGTCGTCTTCATTATCAAAAATCCTCAAAACAGGAATAAATGTTTTCAAAAGTAACTCTCAGATCATGAAAAATACAAAATATTCTAAAATATCAACTATTTACGAATGCGTCGAAACATAATCGTTGACTATTGTTTGTAATATCTGAATGATTTGTTTGGAATTAAATTGATTTGTTTACGATCCAAGTTGAATGTTGCATCTTTCTGAATTTGTATGGTTAGTACGTTCTTCGGTGTGAGTCGTTTTTAACAATTTTCTCCTTATAGACGCAACAGATAGAAGTAAGATTAGTAGCGATCAAAAGCGCTTTTTTATCGCATTAAGCCTATACCCCCTTTCAT